AAATATGTGAAGTACACCTGCAGTATGGAAACAGTACAACAAAATGGCCGTTTTACACTGTTTTCCAGTAAATTCCTCTCTATATATTCTATTCTCTATGATTACAAGTTATAATTAATTAAAGAGAAGCTTTTTAAATTGACAGCTTCTCTTTGTTTCCACATTTTTGTGTATCCATGCTCTTTAAAAGCTTGATATAAATTAGAATTTAAATCGAAAGCCTTATTTATATTGATACAATCGCCTACCACAGTGTTTGTTGGGATCTTACTAACAGAGGCTTCGATGATCAAGCTCAATTTTATTTTATTCTGTTTGGATTGTGAACAATTAGTTAACTGATGTATTTTTTTCCAATGTTTAAGACTTGTTTTACCTTGTATTGACCCCAGGAATTTTAGGGTGACCCCAAGTGTCTCTGTGTTAATATTTATCAAAAACTATTTCTTTTTTACAAAAACTGAAGATCGACATTTTTTATTGATAATCACAAGAAATGGTCAAAAATATTTTTTTCTAATTTAAACTAATTTAAATTTAGATGATATTCCTGATTGCTCTTCTGGCCTCAGCATTTTGCACTGCAGTGTGGACAATTGTTACCAGTCCTAGGCAATAATTGATGTAATTTGGATTTCTCAATGGTATCACATGAAATCATGTATTTTAAATTGTCTATTTTAATTGACGAATATTTAAAGGTATACAACATCATACCGTTAATTAAACAAATGTATCAAAAAATATTTTAGACGACTAAGAAATGCAATGTTTTGTATTTAACAGTATATGTAAACATTGCAAAACACTTCAAGGTTTGGAAACTTAAATTATTGGATACAAATATTGTGAGCAATACCATGACAATAAAGACCGAAAAGCCATAAACTAAAATCTTAAATAAAAAATTTTTTGAAAGGAATTCATGAGACTTTGACACAAACTCAATTATCTTATCGCTAAATCTTAGCAACCTTTTGGTAAACCTTTGATATTTCAAACTTAGATTATTTGATCTAACTATAATTATAGTTTGAAATATTTAAGTTTTACGAAATTGGGTTCTAAAAATATAGAGATTAAAAAAGAGTTTGTGGCAAAAAAACTCAATTCTTTTGTGAACAAAAAAATTTGATATCTACCTATTTGTGAAACATTACAAATATCAAAGTTGATATTGATTTTAAAATTGCTGATATTTATAAGGATTAGGTTATCAGGATGTAGGTTAGAATGTACATGAGGTATATTGGAAGCTACTACAGGTAGAGTAGAGGGTTCATGTACAGCTGCAGATATTTTATCTAAAATTAAATTCTTCATTCTTAGAAAATCAAATGCTTAAATAAACAATATAGATTTATAGAGAATTCTATAAAAATAAAAAATAAAATTTGAAATGACTGAAGAAATAAAATACCTTCTGCGCTTAGCAGAGCCGTGTTATTTTCTTTATTTTCAATATTATAATCACGGAGTGGAGATTTCTCATTTTCTAACTGAAGATACCTGAAGTGTAACTCTTAACACATTATTATTTGTTCAAATCAAATTTATGTAAAGAAGGTTAAAATTTTATTATGTTAAATGCATGCAAGATTTAAATTAATCCTTTGTAAATGCATCTTCTATATATATATATATATATATATATATATATATACTTTGCTTGTCTGTCTATCCTCTGTTCTTTGTCTCCTTCTCTTCATCTTCTGGAGGGTTTCTGAGGCTCCGCAACAGGTTGTCAGAATAATGGCAAGGGCCATTGCTGGTCCACCCTGCAAATATGCCATTACCATGACTGTTAGGTGAACCATCATCCTTATTGCCATAATCACCAACACCAAGGCGGCCAGGTAATCTCCATACTCGCGGATCGCTGTATCTATCCTGGATAAGATGTTCATCTCTTCATAGATCTTGGCCAACCCGGTCAAGTCATACCTGGTGATTGAATCACTCACCCCGGCCGTACATGAGTCAGTCTCTAGGCAACTCCCTATTGTCACTGATTTCAGCAAAGCCTGATGGTAAGCCGGATATTCCAGGATCTGCTCCCATTCTCTCTGCTCGGCCTCAGTATAGGGTCCACTAACGGTCATGTCAATATGGTTGATATCATTATCTGGCTCTAAAGATACTTGTTCAGGGGCGGCTACTGGTACCAGCGTTGGCGTAATTGCTACCCATGTATTATTAGCTACTCGAAGGGTAATTGGGAACTTCTTTGAACAGGGTAGCTGTGTGGCATGCTGCGTTCGCATTCTCGTAATCGGATCCACCCATACTTCTCCATTGGTATCCATCGGAATCTTGTCATGGCAGGTGGTTAGTTCAGCAATTGCACCTCGTTTCTGAACACACGAAAGTACGAATAGGACGTCTCCTCTTCGGTAAGCGTACTGTCCATTTGGTAAAACCCGTGGTGTATCATCTGAACCGGACACTGTCTGCTGACAAATAGAATACTTCAGCATATCCTGAACTGACTGCATCCTCCTCTCTAACCAGTACACTAGATAGTCCTCCCTCACTTGCTCCTGTACTGATAGATGTAAATCTGCTGGGTGTAGTGACGGCCAGTTGGCTGCATCTGCTAACTCCACCGCGAACAATTCCGGGTAGTTGGTAGATAACAACTTGACACTCCCGCATTCCTGGGGTGCTATCGTTACTCCTGTAATATATATTGAGCAAAATAGCCTTCTTTTCATCTACTAGGTAGGTCCCCATGGCATGCGTTCCTGTGAACACTTGTATCTTCTCCAATGTGCAGGTGGGAACATAATCAAAGATATATGTTCCATCTCCAGTCTCACAACCTCCTGAATTTAGTTTGCATGGCAGCTCCAGATGATCACTCTTACTTTCTACCATCTGACCTTGCGCCACAAAATCCTCGGATTCGACCAGTACTGAGTACTCTACCAGTTCCATCAGATCATCCACTAGGCCATTCGCAGTGCGCATGGTCTCACCCTTACAGCCCACCTTATCATCCGCTACCTTCAATTCTCCTGCTGCTGCTATTTGAACAAACGTAGTTTGATCGATAACCACGTTGAACAACTGGTTTGAACCTGGAGGTTGGAAATGCCTCTGGGTGCTAAGTACCCTGCACCAGTCTGTGGATACCAGTACGTCATGCTGAATGGTAGGAACCTTGGCCACCTTGAGGTGTGAAAAGGATCCACAATAGTATAGGAACCGGCTCTCCTTGATTCGGCATCTAAACCCCTTGAGACGGGTGACTGTCCTTGGTTGTACTAGGTACATCTTCTTGCTGGAGCTAGATTGTTCCGTAGCTGGACTGCATACGTTCACATCTACTCTTCTGATCTTAGACGGGTTTACACAATCAGTATAATCTAGCATGAACGATTTACATGCCAGTACTACCAAACCCAGAATCACAACGAACTGAGCTAGGTAGTTCATTTTGTTGCTTGAACTTAACTCGAAACACTGGCAGAAACAATCCTTGGCAAATCCTCTGACCCTTTTTCACCAGAAAGGGTGTGTCCGACCAATTCAACAACAATGCTTGTATTTCTCCTCGGTAGTCAGAATCCACTACACCACCTATCACCATCAGTCCTTGACTGGCCAGCCCATTCCGCGAAGCTAACTGTAGATAGTATCCGGCGGGTACTGCTATCCTCAGGTTCAGTGGTACTGGCGTGACTCTCCCCGGTCCGAGTTGCACATTGGCTGCTGCACTTAGGTCATACCCTGCGGCCCCGTCCGACTGCTGTACTGGCTGCTTGCTGCCCTTCTTGATTAAAACTTCTAACACCCTATTGGCTGACATCGTCGCCATCTCATCCCCTGACGAATCAGATGAGACTGCCAGCTGTCTGGCAGCTTCCAACAGCTTCCTGCGTCTTGTCATTGGCTTGTCACCCTCAGACTCTGGTCCCGGCACGGAAGGCTCACGCGTCCTCTTGGTGGGCCGGGTCTCCTCAGTCATTTCTGCCTCCGCAGGCAGGTCCCCCTCTGCCTGTACCTCCACTGCTGGTGCAGCGCTCTCCCCACTCTCCATTGGTTCTGGCTCTGGCGCTGCTTGTCCCTCATTGGGCGATATTACTTGATCAGTCACCTCCGTGGGTAACGGCATGGGTCTCACTTGCTCCTCTACTGGGTCCCTCCGGGCATCTGGAAGGTTCTGGATTTCTAGTCCTGCTCCACCGCCATAGACCGGTACTGCTAACTCCGGTCCTCGCCGACTACGCTCGGATATCTCCTCACCCTCCAAGTCATCCATGTCTGCATCTACCGTATCTCTCATCACGGTCCTGGCGTTGGCTTGGTACTTCTTCAGGCGGGTCACATGCACCCTCAATGTTTTCCCTTCTGTTCCTGATGGACAAATGTCTACTAATACCTCAGCTACACGCTGCACTACTCGAAACGGTCCACGCCAAGCATTCACCACCTTATCAGGTTTTCCAGGTACTGGTCTAGGACTACAGTACCAGACCAAACTGCCAGGTTCCCAATCCTCCTGGTTTCCAGCATACAGGTTTGAATTACGCCTGATCACTGCATCTCCATTCCGGCGTATGTAGGCATATACTTCCCGAGTCCTGTAAAGAACATCCTTCACAAACTCCTGGGTGTTTTCATACTTCTCTGCTGGATTCTCTAAAATCAGATCCAGTGGTAACCTGGCCTCTCTCCCAAATAATGCGTCATAGGGTGTCAACCCTGTACTGGTATGTTGTTTTGTGTTATAAGCAAAAACACAAACTTCCACTAGCTTGACCCAAGCTGGGTCATCTCTCTCTAGTAACACTCTCAGCATTTGACCCAATACGCGGTGGAACCTCTCCACCAGGTTGGACTGCGGGTTGTAGGTCAGGGTCATGGTCCGGTTGATCTGCAAATTGTCCATCAACTCAACCCATAGCTTGGAAGTAAACACCTTCCCTTGGTCAGAATGGATCTCTTCAGGACATCCATAGATAAATATAACACGGTCCAGCAGCGCTCGGGCCACTGTCTGAGTTTCCTTATTAGGGATGGGCACTGCTGTCACCCATCTTGTAAAATGATCCTCCACTGTAAGTATGTACCTCGGTCCCGACTGGCCATCTCCCAGGGGTCCAACCAAATCCACATACAACCTCTCAAATGGAAAACTAGCTATCCTAGGCTTATGTACTGTCTGGTGTATGTCCGTTTTCCTCTCCTTGGCTAAGCACTCACCACATTGTGCTATCCGGTTCTGGAAGTCCTTCCTTAATCCTGGGTAGTAAATGTACCTGTTGGCCCTCTCCAGGCTGGCTCTTACCCCAAAATGACCTGCACTCCTGTGTGCATGGATATAGTGGAATGCACTCTCCCTCAGGCTGATAGGAACTAATATCTTATTGACTGGTACTTCCACTCCTGGCTGAGTTGCTGGCAGTACTAAGATTCCCCTTCTGTCTAGCTTTACTGCACCAGCAATTTCCCTCCATCTCAAAAGCTCCTCACCTTTCCCCTTAATCTCCTCCTTGGGTGGTATCTTCCCTGCTCTGACCCATCCAGCCACTAACCTCAGATCTGGATCTTCCTTTTGAGCTTGTAATACCTCTTCCCTTGAGAACTCTTGAGGCTCTACAGCGGCCATCCTCTGCTCATCCTCCTCCTCCTGACTGGGATCAGGTAGATGATTGCTCCTAGATAATGCATCCGCGTTAAGGTTACTTCTTCCCGGCTTATGGATCACCCGGAACGAGTACTGCTGGAGTTCCTCTAACCAGCGGGCCAATAGTCCCTTAGGATTCTTCAGGGTCTTCAAATGCTTCAGGTATGAGGAATCCGTATATAATTCGAAGGGCGCAAACTTTAGGATGTGCTCATAGCGCCTAATACCAGCTATGGCCGCTGCCAACTCGCCCTTATTGCTCGGGTAGTTCCTCTCTCCTGAGGTCGTCTTCCTTCCCGTAGCCCCGATAAATCTCTCCACCCCATTTTGCTCCTGAGATAGCACTGCACTCAAGGCTGTCCCAGAAAAATCAGTAGTTAATCGGAATGGTGGTCCTCCTTCCTGGAACCGTGGATAGGCCCTCACTGGCCCACTCTTAAACGCCTGTTTTAACTTCCGGAAACTCTCATCCATCTCCTGGGTCCAAACAAACTCTCCCTTGTGACTTCTCTTCTCATTCAGGGGGGTAGCTAACTCCGCAAAATTCTTGATAAATGCCCGATAATAATTCAGAAATCCTATGGCTCTTCTTAGTTCAGTTACATTCTCTGGGACTGGCCATTCTAATATCCTGGACACATAGTCCGGTACCATTTAAATACCTTCTTGGGACACCCTGTGTCCTAAATACTCCACCTCTCTCTCAAAGAGGACAGTCTTGCCAGGGTTCAGCTTGATCCCTGTCTCTCTGTGCCGCTGTAAAACTTCTCTGAGTCTCTCCACATGCTGACCCTCCGTTTGTGTAGCCACTGCAATATCATCCAAATATGCATCCCCATCTTTCCGGTCTACTCCCTCATCCAGAACCTACTGTACAAATCGCGAATATACAGCCCCAGCTGAACACAGGCCAAATGGCATAACCAGGAATTGGTACAATCCCCAGGGAGTACTAAAAGCTGTGTACTCCTTAGACTCCTTTTCCATCGGGATTGTCCAGTATGCTGCTGAAGCATCCAAGGTACTGAAATACTTCTTACCAGCCATCTTATCCAGAGTCTCCTGTACACGAGGAAGGGGGTAACCATCACTCACCAAGCAATTATTCACCTGGCGAAAGTCCACAGCCCATCGCGTGCTTCCATCTTTCTTCTTCACCGCTACCAATGGACTACTCCAGGGGGAAGAAGAAGGTTCTATGATCCCCTGATCTAGCCATATGTCCAACTGCGCCCGTAGGTCAGCTTCATCTTTTGGGTTCAGGGGCCTTGGTGACTGTTTCACTGGCTTGGTTCCAGGCTTCATCCTCAGCCTGCACTCGGTCAACCCAGTTTGACCGAAAGGGCATTCCTCTGTTTTAAACACGTCCTCATACTCTGCTACCAACTCCTTGACTTCCTCCATCAGTTGAGGGTTGCTCTTCAGAACCTCCTTCTGTTCCAGTTTCAACTCCTTCCACAACTGCTCTCTCCTCTCCTGAGGGTTAAGTTTCTTCACTGCAGGAGCTGGAGGAGGTGTCCAAACTTCCTGATCCTCATCAGCTACCATTGCCTCATTTATGACTTGGCCATTTTTCAGCCTGATGGGCTGTGTTGACCTGTTACTAATAGCCAAACATCTCCCTGCTAGTGCTCCGGGTACCTGAAATATTTGGGATGAGATTTCTGCACTAGCAGTTCTTAATATTTTGGAAAGTTTCTCACCTTGATTCCAGGCTGGTTCTCCTCTCCAGCCCAACTCCATGGAGCAGATTCCAGGTATTCTGTCCTTGCCTAGCTTCACCTTGCTCTGGGGTGCTGCAACTTCGATCCTCACAGTCTCTCCAGGTTGAATCCAAGCATCCTCCAGGCTTTGGATCAGGCAATTGTTCAGAGATTTCCTCATCTGTTCCTTGCCCCCCTTTAACTCAGCCCCTTTGGATTCAACCCCCTTGGACTCACACCCCTTGGACTCCCCCCCCTTGAACTCAACCCTTCTTTTACATATAATAGGTAACAAATTATCCTGACTTCTGGGTTGTTGGGCTGCCAGGTCTTCCTGCATCTGGTTCACCATGTAGGTAGTCGCTCCACTGGGGTCCCGGACCCTTGGGTCCTCCCCACTGAAGTCCAGCATCAACTTGGCTCTGTTAAGGAACTCCGATCCCAAATTCACATGATGACTTAAGTTCTGGATCACCAAAGGTTTCACTCTGAACACCTTCTCATGTCCACGGATCTGGAGGGGCACCGGGGAACCTATCCCAGCTATCCTCAAGCTTCCCCTAGATGATGCCGTCCCAATCTTGAGCCCCGGGGGAGGGGGGTTCAGCTTCAACTTCAACATCTTGGCCAACCTCCCCGAAATGATCAACGGAGTGTGGACTTTGTTGCCCGAGTCCACCAATCCGCTCAACTCCCTCATCTCATGCCCAGCCATGATCCTCAGAGGGAGGTTGCACTTGAGTGGTTTCAGTGCAGAAATTATCTGGCCCCCCTGCACAGGGCCTTCTCTACTAAAAAAGACACGGCTTCCTCCTCCTCCCAGAGGTCTAGTTCTTCCTCTAGGGCATTGGTCTGCTGCTTGAGGCTACGGCACTCCTTGGCCAGGTGGCCAGGTTTCTGGCACATGAAACAACGCTTCTTCCTCGCGCCATTCTCTCTCCCCTTGGCCTCCGCTGATTTCCCTCGGGGTTTGTCCACAATCTCCTTCCCCTCCAGGGTCTTCTTGGCTCGACAGTCCTTGCGTAGATGTCCTCGTCTATGACATCTATAACACTCTCGCTCCTTCCCCTGTACTGCGTCGACCTCCATAGGAACCGGTCCCGTTGGTGCTTCCTCAGGTAGGTTTCCCATGGCTCTCCTGGCTGAACTGACTGTAATAAGTCCATCTGCCGACGCACTCTCTCCGTAACCGCCATTGTAGGCGTCACGCTCCGCTGCAGTGGCTTCCAGCACTGCTACGCGGAGCGCGGTCTCATCCTTGGGGTTAGCTCTCCGTACTTGGCGGCGTACTGAATGGTTACACAGGCCCCAGATAACGTGGAGCATCAACGTATTGAAAGAGCGTTCGCTAGGCCCAAAGGCAAGCTTATAAAGTGCAAACTTATTCGTTAGGTATGACTGCACATCTTGATTCTTCCCCTGGAAGTAGCTCTGGAACTCTGAGCGCACCAGCATACTTTCTGAATCCGGGCAAAACAGCTCCCGGATGACGTCTGAGAACTGCTCGTAGGTCCCGTTCCGGTAACACTCATCCACGGTAGTATTATCTCTTATTCTGCTTACTGCTTTCCCGGCCAGGCTCTCTAACAAGATCGTCTTCTTGAAATTGTCACCTTGCACCACTGCAGTTCTACACAGCAAGAATTTCTGGACGGCAACTTCATGGTCACGAAATAGGGAATGCCCATCATCAAAGAACTTTGGAACACTCCTTAATATGGCCTCTCTCAGCTTGTAGTCCTCTCCATCTGGGGGTAGGGGAACCGCTTCCGGTCCCGGCACAGGGGCACGCCTACGAACCGCTTCCAGCTCTTGCTGCAAACGCTGGATTTCTTCCTGCTGGCGCTGTAATACTTCAGCTAGCTGTGGTCCTTCCATGCTTCTTTCTTGGTTCCTGGGTCTCTTCGGGTTCAGTTACTGGATTTTCTCTTTACAGTTCTTCCAGTCTACTTTATATCCACACCGATACTGCCATCATGTAAGGAATCACACACTTCCCTCTATCTAACACAGGAACAGTCCCTTTACTAACCAATCAGAAATGCAAGACCAATCTGAACTCCAGTTCTAGCCTACTCTGGTTCAGGCAAACACTCTATAGATCAAAATCTGGTAGCGTACAAATACAAAGTTGGAATCAATTGAGTATCTGCCTCTACTCTAATATAGACAAACAGCCACTCTAGCCAGGATTTCTCTCTCTATCAATATGAGTCTTGGATAGTATTACTCTACTAGCTCTACGCCTATCAACCAGGAATATATGATACTAACTAACTATTTATTTGATAAAAGCACACAGTTATATACAGGTTACCCCTGTTTGCATATTACAATATTATGAAACATATATTTATTTACTTACATACTAAAATATCGTGTATAACTAAAAATCAGTGTAAAACCTTAAGCAAGAAGAATGTCCCCTGTAAGTAAGCATGAGTGCAGGCGGGTTTAAAGTCCCAGGTGACTTGCTACGTGACTTTAGCATGATACGTGACTTTAGACTGCTACGTGACTTATCATATTTGAATCCAAGGCCCCTCTCAGAATCATGAGTCCGCATAATGACCCTATATACTGATACTCTACAGTTTGTATACAATAAACGTCAAAACGGCCGAACCGATCGGTCCCAAATTTTGTGTGGTACCTTACATATCCTCAGAGTAGGTTGATAGATGATCAAAATTTTAAAATTTTGCCTCAAACAAAATTTGTTTTGTATTAAATTTTTAAAATCCACGAAATTTTTTATAAAATCCGCAAAATATTTTTTGTTTTTGTTTTACAGCATATACAAAGAGAAAATGTTAACATTTGAAATAGAAGATGGGTGCGAAGCGACCTTAAAGCCAAGTTGTCTAAAATTATAAATGTTTTTGCCAAAAAAATGTTCTGATTGAAGGAAACAAGCTTTTTCAAATGTATTTCATACAAGATTAAAAACTTTAATTTTCTAGCATTATAAAAGTTTTCCCGATCAAATCCTTAAAAGTTTGATAAAACTTTAGTTGTAATTAAATTTTTTATAAATACTATTAATTCAAAAAATTCAAAAAATTCAAAAAAGAGAATAAAAAAATTAAAAGTTTGAAGTTATATACAATGTTAATCAACTAAAAAATCAGAAAAAAAGGTTTTCTAAAAAATGAATTAGAGTATTAAAATTGGAAAGAACTACAAACAGCTATTTGTAATTAAAAGAGAAAAAATGTAAAAAATCTGTAGTTATTCTCAAATACATTTTTGTGCAAACTGAAAATAAGAAACAATTAACTTGAATATTAAAATTATTCCCACGCTAAAGATAAGAAATGGAGTATCTCGTGCAGCTTTCAAATCTAATATAAAACACTGCAGTGTGGTGTGCACTGTGCACTGCCATAACTCAAAATGTAAATATTTACAAAATCAAAGCATCCTACCTTGATTTTGTCTTTATTGCATTATCAATTAAAAATACCACCATTAACAAAATAACTAAAACAGAAAAAGTTAAAATTAATTTAATTATAATGTTTTAATTTAATCCTTTTGGTTCCTTCAATTTTAAATTTTTTTTTTGAGATCTAGATATTTATTATAGATAAAATTGATAAGAAAAAGAATCACCGCAAAATTAGTTCCGATAGTTTCTTTCAGGGATAGAAATGGAAACATCACACTTTCCACTATTAGCCCATCTGTTTCAGGATTATGTAGTAAAAATGACAAAAAAAGCATTTTAAAATTTCGAAGAGCGGGGGGATATAGGAAATTTTAGATTTTTCAATTATTCCCGCGCTTGCTCCCTGGCCCTCATATAAACTAAAGATTTTGTCAAAAGAAAAACGCTAATTTGGCAAAATGTGTAAAATATGAAACCTAATGATTTATAAGAAAAGATATATAAGGAGATAAAATGCAAAAGGCATGTTTTTACAATTGTTACAAGATTAAACCAGGGAAAGTAAGTTTTTCTTTTGTAAAAAAACTTTAATTCTAATCTAACAACTATTTTAAAGCAGGCCCATGTTAAAACCAGCTCTTTTCAAAGAATGTATTTTACTCCCAAATTAGAATCAATGGAAATAAAAACCCTCGATATTAAACCCCTAGAGATTAAACCCCTCGAGATTAAACCCCTCGAGATTAAACCCCCTTGAGATTAAACCCCTCGAGATTAAACCCCGCGAGATTAAACCCCTCGAGATTAAACCTCCTTGAGATCAAACCCCTCGAGATTAAACCCCACGAGATTAAACCCCTCAAGATTAAACCCCTCAAGATTAAACTCCTGGAGATTAAACTCCTCGAGATTAAAGCCCCTTGAGATTAAACCCCTCGAGATTAAACCCCACGAGATTAAACCCCTCGAGATTAAACCCCTCGAGATTTAACCCCCTCAAGATTATACCCCCTTGAAATTAAACCCCATCAAGATTATACCCCCTCGAGATTAAACCCCTCAAGATTAAACCTCCTCAAGACTAAACCCTTCGAGATTAGACCCCTCGAGATTAAACCCCCTCGAGTTTAAACCCCTCGATATTATACCCCCTCTATATTAAATCCCCATGAGATTATTCACCCTCGAGAAATTAAACCCCTTTAGATTAAACCCCCTTAAGATTAAACCCCCTTGAGATTAAACCCCTTAAGATTAGACCCCACGAGATTAAACCCCTAGAGATTACACCCCTAGAGATTAAACTGCTTGAGATTAAACCCCTCGAGATTAAACCCCTCGAGATTATACCCCCTCCATATTAAAACCCCTTGAGACAAAACCCCTAGAGATTAAACTGCTTGAGATTAAACCCCTCGAGATTAAACCCCTCGAGATTATATCCCCTCTATATTAAAACCCCTTAAGATTAAACACCCTCGAGATTAAACCCCCTCGAGAATAAACCCCCTTGAGACCCCATTGAGATTGAAACCCCTTTAGATTTAACCCCCTTGAGATTAAACCCTTTGAGATTAAATCACCTTAAGATTAAACCCCCTTGAGATTATACCCCTTGAGATTAATCCACCTCGAGATTAAACCCCCTTGAGATTAAACCCCTTGAGATTAAACCCCCTTGAGATTAAACCCCTTGAGATTAAACCCCCTTGAGAAATTAAACCCCTCGAGATTATACCCCCTTGAGAATAAACCCCCTTGAGATTAAACCCCTTGAGATTAAACCCCTTGAGATTAAAACCCCCTTGAGATTAAACCCCCTGAGATTATACCCCATTGAGAAAGCCCCGTGCAGAGGAGTAAATGATACATTTTACCTGCATTGTAAATTCTTGTTTTTGTAAACATTTTCAATCTGAAAATTTATGTTTCAGAATATTTTTTTAAAAATGTTAGAACATATTGGTTAACATAAGATAATCCTTCTCCTTCAATGCATTCAATCAAATTAAATTATCTACATACTTCATGGGGACTGTAAGCGTAATTTCAACACTTCATAAAAAGATGGAAATACATAATTCACGACGGTACCCTTGCACCCTTTTTCTAGTCACTAATGTGGAAGTTGTCAATTTCCCTTTAAGGTTTCCTGCAGTAGAAATAAGCAAGTCATTCTTATACTTATAGAGAACCCCCAACAATTGTAAAAAATCTTTTTTAAAAATTATAAAAATAGATATATTAATGCTTTCTCAGAGAAGAGGAAGTTGGAATTAGGATTATAGACCCTTTAATGGTCTAATGTAACAATTCAGCAAACTTGGAACAATGGACCACCCATCCTGTAGTCGTGTGTAGCTGCTGAAAAAAATGTAGAGCTGCTTTCTTACTAACTATTCAACCTAGAATGTGAATTAATTAAATATTTTTGCATGACCCAAGTCAATATAACAATCAAGCTTCCTTCAAAAATAATTAGAAAAGTTAAATGGAACGATTAACTTTTAAATCTTTTACAATTTTAAAGGCCAAAGTGGTAAACAAATTGTTACTATTCATCCATTATATCTTTCTCCCAAAATTGGTTTAAAAGTAAAAGAAATGTATTTGGAAACATTTCATGATTTTGTAAATCATTAGAATTTTTATTTTCATTAGATTATTTTCAAATGAATTTTAACAGGATTCTAGAAAACAAACATTAAAATGCCATTCCGTGGATTTTTAGATTGTAGAAGATTCTAGATTGTAGAATATTCATAATATTTTTGAAAGCAATTTTGCTTATTAGTGATTCAACTACTCTTCTTGAGCTTGAACCCATGCACAAAAAAAATACATTTGTGGGCTATCCATCAACTTCTCACCATTCATTAAATTTGGCCAGGGGTGTGTATTTTCTCGAAAACTTATTTTCTTCCCCCCATTTGAAAAAAAAATTTTCCCCAGAATTTGCTACACGGAGGCGAATTTTTTAAAGGGTTTTGGTTTTGGGAAAAGAATTGGTTTTTAGTAGAAAATCAATATAAATGTTTGGGTAGCAAGCACAGACTACACAGACTTCTTATACACTCTACCTGGATAGGCTGAGCAGGCCTATAGTGTCCCAGCACGCCATGCTACGGTTCCATGTAATGTTTTTTGACTGACATGTAACGGCAACTTGTTGCATTCAGGGGTTAAGTTTTACAAATTTTAAAGAAATACTCCAATTTTAAACATAAAACATAACCTTTTTGAATATTGTCTATTTTTAAAGAGTTTGCATTTCCTATTCACAGGATCCTGACTGGTCGTGTACAGTACTTGTACACAATAGAAAATGCTGTGGAAAATATCGCATATTATAGGTGTTAATCGATCTCTGTAACTCTCTTATCTCTGGTAACAAGTATCATACAGAATGAAAATAGTTGCCTTTTAGTGTAAAATTTTTCATTTTTTCCTCAAATAATCAAAAATCATTTCCCCTTTCCCCCAGGGCAGCAGGCCAGTTAATTCTGAAAAAATACACCCCAGAATCCGGTACCAGGTGGCCCATAAAAGCATGCCTTGAATCACACGGTTTAAACAGTTTTTCATACTTAAAGGGACTGTATAGGAAAAATGAAAGGGGGTATAGGATGAAACCTGAGAATCTCAGGCGTTGAATGATACAGATAAGACTTCTATCTGATGCTCTCATGTCTCTAGTAATTGATATAAAACTGTGTAAAATTTATACGAAAATTCATATACATGGAATTTTGTATAAAAGTTGTAGTATTAAAGAGATCATATTCAACAAATATGCAACCAATCTGAAAACGGGGATATCCCACAGGAGCCTGAGAATTTCATATAGTTTGTATCGTCTGTATTACGTCACCAGGAACTTCCATCGTTGTCAGAAACAGAAATCACGTGACCAGTATTGTAACCATCCCCAACCCCCTCCCCCTGCTCCAGCCGCCTTATCTAGATACTCTAGCTTTCCAAACATGATAAGGATGTGTTGATAAGACAGGATCACAGGATATAAAAGGAGACCTAACAAAGAATAAGTTTAGTTGTGCGCCAGCTCTCAGAAGGAGAGGATGAAGCAATTCGCCAACTCACCATAAGTATGGGAGTTGTGCATCAGTCCTCAGAGAGTATAGGATGAAGCAATTCGCCAACTCCCCACAGTAGAGGATGGTCAATCCACTGGGAACTGCTGGGTTTGATCAGAGCTGTGGGGAAAAACCAGAAAACTCTGGTTAAAGGAAGAGTCTTAAAACTCTGGTTAAAGGAGTCTTAAAACTCTGGTTAAAGAAGAGCCTTGGATCCATGATCCTAAATAGAGAAGAGCAATCAAGATGTGCTTTTCGATAAAGCAGGCAGGGAGAATGGTTCCCATGTCTAACAAGAAGATCCCAGGAAACCAAATCTGTGGATCTGAATGAAACTGTAGTAGCAGTATACCTACATCGCTAATTTAGTTCATTGTTTTATAGTTTCATATAACTTTGTAACCTTTTTCCTATTATACTTTTAATAGAAATGTTTGACTACTTTGTTCTATTATTGGTGTGTGACTTGAAGGTTACTAGAATATTGTTACCCCCCCTTTGGGGGTATCCTTTCAAATATAACAGTATACTGCACTGCCACTGGCTAATGTTCTGGTGACGTAATACAGACTATAAGTAATAATATTATCAATTATATGTATTTAAAATGCAAAATAAAAATTTAAAAATCATAATAGTGTAACCTCCACCCCCTACCTCACCCTAAGAGGTTGGGTAGACCCCCCTCCTCCGCCTTATCTAGATACTCTAGCTTTCCAAACACGATAAGGATGTGTTGATAAGACAGAATCACAGGATATAAAAGGAGACCTAACAAAGAATAAGTTTAGTTGCGCACCAGCTCTCACAAGGAGAGAATGAAGACTTTTGCCAACTCCCCACAGTGGAAGGATGGACATTGGACAACCTAAGAAGCAGTAAGTCCAAAGGAATGGAAACTGCTTGGTTGGATCGGAGCTGTGGGAAAACAGCATGTTGTTTCAGGAGATATGTTCCCGGAGGAGATATGTTACTGGAGGGGATATGTTATCGGAGGGGATACATAAGGAAGGTATCTAGCAAAAGGAGGTATTTAGCCAAAAGGAGGTATCTAGCCAAAGGAGGTATCCAGCTAAAAAGAGGAAAACCTTTAGTTTAGTTGAGTTTAGTTTAGTATTTGTTACACTTTCAATATAAATGTTCAAGTATTTTGTTCTTTTATTGGTGCGTGCAGCGTGACTTGATGACTACTTGAATATTGATCCCCCCCTTTTTGGGTGGTTCCTTTCATATTTAACAATTCTACAATAGGAGCAAACCTTAGATTCTCAGACTCCTGTGGGATATAATCGTTTTTAGATTGGTTGCATATTAGCTGAACATGATCTGTTTATACCTACTACTTCATACAAAATTGTATATATATGAATTTTTGTATAAATGGACACAGTTTTAAATCAATTTCTCGAGACAGGAAAATCAGATAGATGTTTTATATGGCTAGGTCAACGCCTGAGATTCTCAGGTTTCATCCTATACCCCCTTTCATTTTCCCTTTACAGTCCCTATCCAATACTGATACCCCCTCATAGGCTCATATCATTTAATAAAATATGTAATTAATTTAGCTTGTATTCATTTTTACATTGAGAGACTCAAAGACATTTCTACAAATCTGAAACCAGACAATTTTAATTCGCATCGATAATCCAATGTTGGAACTTTTTATGTGGATTTTTAATCTTGAATGTTTGATCTCGATATTTAAGCAGACACTTATAAATTTGAGAATCTATGCTTAATTGCTCAATAAAATTTATCTCTAGCTGCAGATATGACCTTCATGGGATATTGAAGAGGGATTAAATGTGTGATTACGAATTAGGATTAAGATTAATGAAGATCAATGCTTGATCCCAAGATTCTCAACAAATAAGTTTTGACTTTAGGTAAAACTGAATTAATCTTAAAATACTGGTCTAGAGATAAGAAAATTATTGGTTTGGACGCGTACTTTTAAGTGACCTTTTATATATAGATTTATGTCTGATTCACAATGGTACCTTTAAATGCTTTGTCTGATCAAGAATGAATAAGATATTCGTTTTTTTATTTTGAAAACTGATCATTTTCATTTGTGGTTTCTCTATATGCATGGAGAGAGAAATGTATGTTGGTGTCTAGGGCTGCGCAAAGTCCTGTTAACGAAACAGATTGGTTTTCAAAAAACAGCATCTTTTGTTCTATTTTGTTTCTAAAGGTCGTCTTCATCCCCCCCCCCATTTAAATGATTGAACTTTTAAAGATTTTTTTTTTTCAATTTGGTGGCTTGGAAAACGGCCGTATAAATCCAATTTGATAAACGATTTTTAATGGAAATTTCTGAATAGCTATTTCCGTTATTTGCCAAAAACAGCCGTTAACGGCATAATATCTTCTGTTAAAGCCATTCATAAAATTGAGATTGTTAACTAAAGGTAACTTTTAAAAAAAACGGGAAATACCGTTAATGAAAAAAAGTTTCGTTCTTACCTGTAAAAACTAACAGCTACCTAAAATTTTTCTTTTATAATGGTTGAAACTAATTGTTAACAAAAGGGCTAGAAAAAGTTGGAACATGCCCACTGTCCACCTCTTTTGGTCTACAGAAATACTTGAAAGCCGTTTTTGACTTTTTATATAACTTCAATATTAGAAATCAATTTAATAATAGATTTTTCTAGATCCTGTACTATGTAGACTGAAATATTTTTAGGTTTTTTATACATTCTTAACTTATTTTATCCTCAGAAAAACAATAATGGTATTTGGAGGTTTTCAAATATTTTCTCCTAAAGCACTTATATTTTTTTTTTTTTTAAATTTTGTAATTAAATACTTACTTACTTAAATGAAGATTTCATGTTTTTTTCTTCTTCTTCAAGAAACTCTTGGTTTGCTAGTGCAATGTCATAAATGGACTCTTGGTGGGAAAGGGTCTTAGTGTCCAGTGCTTAGTAGATCAAATTATTTGAACCATCATCAATGAATTTCTAGATGATGTATTTCTCAACAAAAACAACTTCTAATTTTAAGAGAAAATTTAAGTCCAAAAACTTTATAGCACTTCGTGCCAAAATAATAGTGTTATTGGTACGACGTGCTATAAAGTTTTTGGACTTAAATTTTCTCTATAGCTCGAAGGCTCTCTCCTTTTTGAATTATATTTTGTCCCAAGCTTTACTTATTATAAATAGTTATTATAAAACTGTTATTATGGTTAGCAGTGTTATAAAGATTTCAGACAGAAATTTTCTCTTGATCGAGAAGGTTCAAACCTTTTTAGTTTTAATTTTGTCCCGAGCTTTAGCAAGCTCTGTTAACTTGTCTTATTTCAATGGCTAGTTCTAGATCAAATAAGCATTGAAACAAAGCAGAAGTCAAAATATAAAGTTGATTTCAATTTTATTTTCATTTCAATTGAAAAAAAATATTTTGGAAAGGAAAAGAGTCTTTGTCTCAAACTCAAATTTTCTAATCCTTATATCTTAGCAACTTGATGGTGCAAACCTTTGATATTTCAAACTTAGATTATTTGATCTCCCATAATTCATAGTTTGAAATATCTAAGGTCTACGGCATTGGGTTGCAAAAATATAGGGATTCGAAATTCTGAGTTTGTGGCAAAGACTCAAATCCTTTCCTAAATTTTTTGGAGAAAATCCGGGAACCAATCAAAACTTTAAAGCACACGTGCTTACAGTTTATTTAACTTTATAGCACACATTTATTATGAAATTTACGATGAAGTGAGGAAGAATGATAAAGTACAAAATAGTTTAGTAAATATTTATTATAGATTTTTACTTCATAAATAATGTGAATACTTTAAATTTATTTATAAAATAATGTATTAAAGCTTAAAATTCTTCTATGTTGTATCCAAACATCAGAAAATCAGACTCATATCTTTTCCTAAGCTTTTCCAAATCTTCCCTGCAAAAATTATATGGCAAATTGTTTTTATATTTTCTCAATAACCGTTATCCAAAATCAGAAATTTACAAATGTGCAAAAATATTTTCACTGAATTTTTAATTATATGTAAATTAAAACGGGCATTAAATTTAAAATGAAAACTTATCGTATAAATAGCTGCCTGTATAATCTTTTAAATCTTTAATACCAGGCTTTTTCATTCTTTCAATAACAATAATGAACGCATACACTTTTGTACAACTTTATTTGCATCACATGACGTTTTTTCACCTTGAAATAAGCTTTAAGTACTCTGATTGAATTCCTTGGTTTCCTCTATTGTCCCAGGGTAGAACTATAGAGGAGGGAAGATTGAGTTCTTGTTTAAAGAACTCCCAATCAGTAGATAAGTCCTCATATCTCAGTATATGGGTAAATTCCAGCTGACATAACCTACATTTTTTATTTTGGAGTTTTTGGCAAAGAGAATAGAATAAATATTAGAGTACAATTCACTAAAAAAAAGTGTAAAACGGCCATTTTGTTGTACCGTTTCCATACTGCAGGTGTACTTCACATATTTGTGCTATATACCCTTTTGGACCCTGGAACATCATTTTATAGAAAATCTAAAATTAATATAAAAGAAATCCAAATTATGAAATAGGCTGGTTTTATAATTGACCAATGATCATTTCATATAGTCTCTATGCATTTCACTTTACAAACGATGATTTTCCGTTATAGCTATAAATCAATTGATGTTTTTTATTCACCTAATTCATTTTATAAAGTTTATTTAACAGCTTTACAAAATTCGAAATTGAAATGGATAGTCTAGGGAACTTACTGTAGTAATGTACTCTACTGCATATAATTTGCGAACATTTACATGATTTGCACACTTTGAACTCCCTTTAAGACTGAAAGGGACTGACAAATTCATACCAAAGGATTCTCTAAATTCCACTCTAATATATATTCTATTCTCTTTGGTTGCTGGGCGTCTTTGAAGAATATTGTAAAATAAATGAAAAGGGACCTTCAACAAACATCTCAGAGTATCTCTATTAAAAAAATATGGTTTCAGGTAAAAATAAGGTGGTATCAAATAAAAAGCAAGGGGTTCCAATGAAAACCTATTGGTTTTTTGCTGATATGGCTTGGGGTCTCTGATACTGATAAGTACTTTAGAGATTATTTCTATAACTACAGTCACTTTTTACTTTAAACTATCCGTACACTAGAATCTCTATAGAAGGGACTGATTCATTTTGTGCACTGTCCTGTTATGTCTGTATGTGTACTTTAAAAGTCAGCTGGGTTCTTGAAATGAACCGAAGTTTCAGGTTTTAAAGAGATATGAGGGCCCCCCCCCCCCTCGAGTTAGAGGCAATTCAGAATTCTTTACCTGCATCTTAGAGAGATGGGTTGCCAGTGTTCATCATCAACAGTAATATCAGTGTTCAAGAGAAATTTGACAAACTCCGGAAAAGTAGGTTCAGAAGAATTGTCTTCAACTGTCCCACGACTTAGTCTATGTAAAAAGACTGTATGTCTTTAAGGAACTGCAGTAAGAATAACTTTAAGTGACCCTCCATGCGAAGATGGCAATACCCGATTCACAACAGTACCCTTGAAAGCTTTGTCTGGCCAGTTATTAATTATATATGAATGTTTAACTTTGAAAACAGATTATTTTCAATTATGGGTTCTACTACAGGAAAAAAAAGAATTATAAAAATTAAACACATTTAAACATTCTCAGATAAAGATTTCAAGCTTCAAGGGTTGCAGTTGTGAATCAGGGTAACCTAAAATTATGCTTACAGTCCCTTTCAACGTAAAAGAAATCTCTCAACTTTAAAGTTTTTAATTTACAAATTTGGTATGTCATTAAATCTGTAAACTCCATGGCGGAAATAATATTTCATAATCAATGTATCAAATAACCTAAAATTGTTTTGGTAAGTGGGGTAAGCTAAAATCGATCAGATGAAAAGTCGATCCTAAAAACCAAGTTTTGGGCCTGTATGACTTTTTTTCAGGATAATAAACATAGAAATTAGGTACGGATTATCCTTTCTATTTTAAATTGTTAACATCTTCAATTACAAATTAGTATTCGATATATACAATTAAAACTTACTTGATTATTTGTTTTGAATATTGATTAAAAAAGTATTCATTTCTAGTTCTATTCTCAAGTTTATTCCGGTAAGCTGAAATGAGCCGAGCGAATGGATGCCGGGAAATCAAAAATCTGAAAATACGGGTTTTGTTAATACTAGCTTAGGAACACAGCTTTGCATAAAAACTCTTTTGATTTCAAATCTTTAAACCAAAAGGTCTTACCAGATTTCCCAATCAAAATTTTAGGCAAATATGGTTCAAGGGGTTCTTGAGTTATGATCAAACATTTAAACAACATCAGCTATACCGATCCAGTCCAAATTTTCTTTGGGACCTCACATGACTCTAGGGAGAGTTTTTGGATGGTGAAAGTTTAGAAATCATAGACTTAAAAATATTTGATAACTCTGCGAAAATTGTTTTGTATTAGTTTGATAATTTGAGAAGAGAAAAAGCCTGGTACTTCAAAAATCCTAAATTCCATTGTTTAATAGAATTATCTGTACCTAATATTTTTACTAGAATAAAACTGTTTAAGAGATAAATGTCCAGCTCTCTGCCATAACTCCATCTGTACATAAGAAGCATCAGTGTCCTTGGTGGCAGGTAGATAGGGTAGGAATAGTTTAGATAGGGAGGAAGAAGCAACCTTGGGAACTAAACACCAGTCTAGGTTCAAAGCTGGTATTCTAGATAAAATAGATAGGTTGAAAAATTTCGAAGAAAATGATAATTTTATCAAATAAAAATTTCCAGGATATATAAGAAGAAGCTCGTTCTTAGCTTTCAAACATTCATGATTTAATAACCAGATAAATTCTCAAGAAATTCTAAAAACTTTCTTTGGAAAATTCTCATGATCTTCAATTGGACCTATTTAGGACATTTTAATTGACGAAAATATTTGAAAGTACTTCTTGAGAAGATGCAAAAGAACTGGTGTTTTGCCACAAACAAAATTTTTTAAAATCCCTAGCTGACTCTTTACAAATCGATGTTTTAAGCCATTGATATTGCAGAGCTGGCCTTAGGACGGAGAGGTTGTCTCTCTTCAGTGCTCCATGCCGGAGAGCCCTGTGTAAAATACACATATCACATGACTCACTAAGTCGTGTAATAGTTTGGGTTTTCTTATGACCTTTATATTCCCTCTCTCTCGCCAGGAACAAGAAAATGATGGAAATGTAAAAAGTAGAATCCTGATAGCAGTAAGCATATGCACAATGATACCAGTTACACTCAGCCGGCTATGAAGAACAAACTACTGTTGATGATGCCACATTCTGAGCCTCAAAGCTACAACCCCCCATCTTGTATTGTGGTGCAAATACAATGAGATACCTTTCAAATTCTAGGCACACTTGGAATACAATATCAAATGTGGACAAATGGAGAGTTTTTAGCAAAACATTCCTGATACCACACTCCTCACCTCTATCTTCAACGTGTTTTTAACAAAACATTCGTGATACAACACTCCTCACCTCTATCCTCAACTTCCCACTAAAAAACAGAGATTACAAACAAACAGCAGCTGCTATCATGATTAATTATAGCATTTAAAAAACAGAGATTACAATCAAACAGCAGTTTGCTATCATGATTAATTATAGCATTTAAAAAACAGAGATTACAATCAAACAGCAGCTCCTATCATGTTGTTTACTTGTTACCAGAGAAAATAGCTTCTCATACCCTGGCTGATCTCAAGAGTAAACTTTCAGAGTTTAGAGTTTTATCAGTCTTTACTTCCAAATCCTTTACTCTAAAAATCAGAGTTTGTGGCAGAGACTCAATTCCTTTCTAACTATAAATTATCATATTTGATAACTAACAAGATTTATCTTCTTTGACAGAAGTTCTATAAAATCGAAAATGAATTTAGATTATGAATGTTGGATACACTGTTAAAACTGCACTTTCATTATCAATCATTAATTCAATAACTTCAAGAGAAAAGGTAACATTATCTGTCCTTTGTCAATGTAGATGATTGAATTTATTATTTACCTATGTATTTTTATGATTATTTCTTGCAATTTAATCTGTAATTAAACCAGGTACTTAAAAAATATTCTTTTGTGATTCGCACACATATTCAATGAATTGACTAATATTTTATTTCAATTTTAAATTCATTTACAGCTGTTGGAAGTATAAATTTTGTAAAAACACAAGAACAAAAAATCGATTTGAATTGAACACAGCCAAATCTGCATGCAACAACTTAAAATTTCCTTTTTTCGACTTCAAACCCTTAAAAAAAACTTTTGTTTTTGAAAAATTTTCGAAAATTTTAACCCCCCCTGACCCTTACAAAATAATATATTGCCCCCCCCTAGCAAAAGTCCTAGTTGCGCCTCTGTAACAAACAGAGATTGCAAACAAACAGCAGCTGCTATCATGATTTTTTATAGCATTTAAAAAACAAAGATTTCCAACAAACAGCAGCTGCTATCATGATTTAAAAAAAATAAATGATAAAAATAACCTTGTTAAAAATACTATTGATATTTCAAACTATGAATTTTGTTAGATCAAATAATCTATGTTTGAAATATCACAGATATACACCATGATGCATGTTGTTAAGATATAGAGATTAGAAAATTTGAGTTTGTGGCAAAAACTCAGTTCTTTTGTGGTGGAACATTAAAAGTAAGAAACCTGAAAATTGGTTAACCTGACAATATTTAGCACTAATTCTTTTCCAAACACATTCAGAGCACTTTCATCCAAAGATTCATTCAAATTCTGGGAAAATAAGTTTTAAAGACTACAACAAATTAAAATTTTCCTTTATCCTCATATTTAAAAGTGCACACGTTGGATAGTGAGATCAATTCACACAAGTGCAAAATGTTAACTCTGACGGACAAAACAAGCAAACAAGCGAAATTTCACGGAAAAGGGGAAAAATTTTGCATTTTTAACAAGTGGACGAAATGCAAAAAAAAATGCATAATTTTCGGCGATCGAGATAAAGTTTTACAGTGTACTTACTGTACATGCAAACTAAAAATATGGTAATTCAGTGACGAATTCGAAATCGTCTTTTTTAAAGAATTAGCTGTATGTTACCTAATTTCTAAGGTCAAAATAAAGTTACGTCTGCTAAAGTATATTATATGTAAACAGTATAAGACTGTTTTGTTATTCTGCTAAACGTTGTATGATGTTCTGTAACAGTTATGTAAGTTCAAAGAGAAACAGCTGTACTGTGTTTGTATACACGAATTTCTGATTTACTATCTTTATTGCTTTCCTAGTTGGCAATCACCACTCTCACCACAATGAATCAAAAAATCTTTTACAAAGACGATATAAAAATAATCACTAAATTCTTATGTTTATTGGGACACCCTGCATTCGAAGTAAATCAGGTCATGGGCATTGTTTTTGAGAACAAACAGGGTTTTTTTTTAAACAAACAACATTTTTCAAAGCAAACAAAATTGTTCGTGAACGATGACGTTTTTCAGAGAATATATAACGAATGAATGATAAACAAACGATTTTCAAAATTAATCTTTGAAAAAAGATATTTTTTACTGAACCACCATTTTTTGGGACAAAATTGCAAAAAACGATTAGGATGTTTTTACGAATGGTTTCACTGAACAAAAATGACATGAAATGATTGTTCAATTAGAAAACAATTAAGATAAAATGGAAAATAAACAAAAGTTCTGAAACAAACGAACTGAACAACTGAAATAATGGGACGCTAACAAACGATGAAAGAAGGAACAATAAATGATTCCCTTAATGTGAATATGATACCGTTTGTTGAAGCTGAGGGGGAGAGGGCAGAAAAACAGGCATACTGTCACAAACAGACTTCACCTTTTCAACCCGCTCCTCCCAGTTTATGGCATCCAAAACACGACTCTAAATAACATTTTATTAAATAAAAATGGTTCTATTATGCATTTTTTTGCAAATACATTGAGTTTACCATATGTACAAACTTAAGGTTTTTGCAATGATGGAAAATTTGGACATTTCTCACAGAAAACAACAATGAATTATTTTATTTCTTTAAATTAAAAAAATTTGCGAAAAAATCTTTAATTTTTTATTTTTACCCTTTACATAATGGAAAAACATTTCAAAAACGATTCTTACAACATGTTTGTTTTTGTATCGTTCTTTTGGCATATTTTTCTGTTTGCGTCAAAACTTTAAAAATTTAAAAAAATTAAAAAACATTTGCTGATCTTATACTATGTCATATTTTAATGTTAAGAGAAAATATAGACAAAAACAAACCAATTGAAGGTACATCACTAAGTACAGACCTCTGTAAAAAGCTGACCATGAAAAAATAGTATGGCTGCCAGTGCCACAAATCCAAAGAAAAGGAGAAGAAACATCCATTGAGAATATTTCCTAAACAATCTCATCTCTGATACAGTTGTAACACTACATGTGCATGTATACGGTTTTCATGGGCATAGATTTGCGCGTTTTTAAGCGTCTTCATTTTGTATAGAACTTGTTTTTATTCTATTAGGCGCAAACAGATACAGGGTGTCCCAAAAAACATGGGAAATCAGTGACGAATTGGATATCGTCTTTGTTATGAATTAGCATTGTAATACCTAATTTTAAAAGCCATTATTGTTCTGCAGGATAAATCGACTTGTATAATTAAAATAGGATTGAGAGGTTTCGTGACCCAAACTTCCGGTATAAAGTTGACACGTACTCGGCTTTCTCTCGTTAATATCTCCAGCGTGTTTTACAAATTTTCCTCAGTTTAATATAAATTGTGAAACAGTAATAGCCGGAAAAAATTAGGTGAGGAAATTTATATTATTTTTTAAACCTAATATTTTCTTTCCTCAGTGCATTAAATATACTGAAGTATTTTAACTTACAGCAATAAAGGGACCGTTCCCTCTTTTTATTTAAAGGGACCAGTCAAAGAGTCAACTGGATGACATAAATAAATCTAAGGCACATACAATGGTGTTTTATTTTTATAGCAGCATTACTAATTGAAAGCTTAATATTAAACTCAAACCACCTGGGAGGGTTTATGTCCCAGAACAATTATATTATTATGTCTGCTAGAGTTTATTTTATGAAAAGAGAAAAAAAAACATGTGTCTATATTGTCTCCTCAAGATGAACAGTGAAAACGGACAAGTTTATTCTGTTTGTACTGCAATTTTCTTGTTTTACTAAATACAACCGTATGTAGTCAAAATATAAACAAACAAAATGTAAACATAGCAGACGAAACTCTTACAGATTACAGCTTTCTCAGTAGGATATCACTATACTAATTCAAAGAATTATTGATAAAGACGATATCGAATTCGTCACTGAATTCCCATGTTTATTGGGACACCCTGTATAAAGAAAATTGTATTCATTTTAAAGAAATTTTGATCAAATCAATGTTGAATAGTTTTACTGCTAGTATAAGGTTTCCATTATTCAGGGGGAAAAAATTCCATTTTAGAAATGGAAAAGGAAAAAACTTCGGTTTCCATTCCCTAAACCTTTTTATGGGTTCCAATTTGTTACTAAAAAATTTCCAATTTCCATTTTCCACTTAACAGAATGTAAACTGAATGATTTAGGTCTGGGAACAGTAAATTTGTTTTCACTAGTCTACATAATGGAACCCTAGCCGCGTTGTAAAAAAAAACCCCGTAGTAAATCTTTTAACCGGAAAAAACTTTCCGGAACGATGTTCTGGGTATTCCGGATAAACGTAACGGGAATCTTCCGGATTACAGGGGGAAATCGTTCTGGAAATGGAAATTCAGAATCTTCTGCATTATGGAAACTAATTCCGGGTCATATCCGTAACCCAGGATGCTACCCTGTTTGAACTACCGCGGTTTGAACTATTGTTCATTTGCACTATTGTTCGTCTTAACTACTGCGCGCACGTAGCACGAGCACCACATGAGTAGTTCAAACAACCAATAGTTCAAACGAGTTTGTTTCATGGTAACTTGAACTATTTTTTTGTTCATTTGAATAATTTCTTTTGAACTATTTTAAAATAAAGGTTCAAATGACCCTTAACAATTGTTCAAATGAACATAAAAATAGTTCAAATGAACAAAAATAGTTCAAATGAACAAAAATAGTTCAAATGAACAAAAATAGTTCAGATTAACAAAAATAGTTCAGATGAACAAAAATAGTTCAGATGAACAAAAATAGTTCAGATGAACAAAAAAAAGTTCAAATAAACAAGACAATAGTTCAAATGAAACAAAAAAATAGTTCAAATAAACAACAAAATAGTTCAAATGAACAAAAAAAAATAGTTCAAAAAACAAAAACTATTTCAAATGAAAATGAACGCTTAGCCCAGAAATTGTCTTAACCTAACCTAACCACACATATCAACTATCACTTAGTCAATTTGATTTGTGGCAACAGCGCTTGGCCCCCTAGCCTGTACTAGCCGCAGCGCTTGGCCCAGAAACTGTATTAACCTAACCTAAACCCATATCGACCATATCACTTTGTCAACTTATAAATGTGGCCACAGCGCTCGGTCCCCTAGCTGCAGTGCTCGGCCCAGAAAATGTCTTTACCTTACCTACCCCACACTTGAACTATTTTTATGTTTTTTCATAATTTCATTTGAACAATGTTTTGTTCATTTGAGCTATATTTTTCTTATTTTGAACTATTTTTTGTGATTATGAGCTAGCTATTTCATTTTAACTATTTCATGTTCATTTTCAGTGTTTTATGTTCATTAAAACTATTTTTTTGTTATTTTGAAAATTTTAAGTTCAATGAACTATTTAACTTGAACTATTTTTAAGCTCATTTGGACTATTTTTAAGTTCATTTGAACTATTTTTATGTTCATTTGATCTATTTTTATATGTCCATTTGAAATATTTCTTTGTTTGTTAAAACTATATATTTTTTGTTTGACCTACAAAATTCATGAAATCCTAAAATTTTAAAAACTACTGTATGTTAAGAAAATATAGTTCAAATGAGCAATTGTATCGTGTTGATTTAAACTACAGGATATGACGTCATATCAGTAGTTTTAATTGAACAATAGTTCAAACGAACAATAGTTCAAACGAACAATAGTTCAAACGAACAATAGTTCAAACGAACAATAGTTCAAACGAACAATAGTTCAAACGACGGTGTAGTTCAAACAGGTATCCACCAACCTGGAATTGCAGGAGAAAAATTGTTCAAAAATATGTGTCATTCCTGCAATTTTCAATGCTCAATTTTGTGCAAAGAAATAAATAACTGATCAAATTTTTTTCGCAATTTTGCACCAATTTGCGATTTGTGAAGTTTTGACGAAAATGAAAAATATATCACAGGATATAAGTATGGGTTTGGAATCCCAGTTGCAGGAATAATTGAATTAATATCTTTGCGCAATTTTTAATTCACTACCGATCTGATATGAAATTGTTGCTTACTGAATTATTCTCATTGCAATTATATTTGAAGAAATCAGCTCTCAGAAATATGCTCCTGAAAATTATTTAGAATTATTTAAATCGATCAAGTCAATTTTAGACAGTTAACCCTCAATGACTCGGGAAGGGGGCATTCAGTTTTCCCTCCTCTCTGCTTTGTTACTTATAGCGTTGCCATTTTAGCATGAATTTTTCTAACACTTGTAGTCCAAAAAAATTTAGAAGATATTCACATATAATTGTCTGCACCGCTAAAGGTTTTGTGCAGAGCTTTTACAACTTTACAAGACCAGTCAACAGGTCCTGGTGTGCGATTACAGTAATTAATCCAGTGGGGGGGGAATGCTTTAACTTTTTTTTGACATTTCCATTGTGGGTTCTTTACTTTGCTTTAGACCCAATTACGGACATTGTCAGATTTAACCCTATTCTTGCTCAAAAAGTATTGATCAGAGGCTGTTGAAATTTTCTGACTTTTCCGAAATACACATANATACTGATATGAACTGAGATACTGATATGAACTGAAAAAGTTCGTCTCAAAATTTATCAGTCCAGGCACAACCTGTCCGCTATCCATGTGAACCAGAACACAACCCACCTGGATCTAAATGTCACACAGGGACACAAGCCTAGCTTATCTAGCTATTACTCAGGCTCTAAATGCTAAAAAAGGAAACAAGCATAGCTTATCAATCTAGCTATTACTCGGGCTCTAAATGCCTCACAGGGACACAAGCATAGCTATAAAACAAGCCACACAAGGACACAAGCATAGGTATCAACAAGCTATTACTTTGGGTCTAAATGCCACACATGAACACAAGCATAGCTATCAACAAGCTATTGGCTATTTATCAAGCCCTTAATCTATACTCTACCCTAAACGAGGTATGATCTCAGCCTGAATACTCAACGGGATACAATCAGGGAGCGGACACGTTATGTGTGTGTGTCTGTACCAAAAGAGTGTGTGTAAAGTTTACCGAACCGAAGGTGTGTACTGTGGTATATACAGTACATATGAATCCCGGTATTTGTACAGTCTACGAGAGTACATTTGTTTATTGTTAACTTTTTACTTAAAAATAACTTTAATATACATGTGGTATATTATGAATATATTTGAGTCAACACTATAAAGCCAAATTTTCATGCAAAGAATATAATTTGATTAAAGTTTACAATAAACTAGTCGTTATTCAAGCTCAACTATAATTGACAACATTGTTCTGCAATTTCCTTGACAGTAGTCATGTTGTGTGTCTGTACCAAAAGAGTGTGTGTAAGGTTTACCGAACTTGTCTGCAAAGCAGTGCGACTGGCTTTCTCATGCCAGACCAGCGCCATTTCCTTTCCCTTTATTCCTATTCCCTGGATACAATTACTCTACACTGGTCTAGTCGCATTACAAGTTTTACAGAATTAATTGGATTAACGCAGTTAGATCATCAGACAATGTACAACGCATATAATATAGATATGTTCAAACAGCATTTATTACACCTTCAGGTCTAAAACCGGGCTTTTATCCTAACTGCATGAGTCCTTTATAGGCACATTGCCTGAATGATAACTTTTTCCTCTAACATACTTTTTTTCTTAATTACACATCAGGCTATTACAATTTTTTTTTGCATATTTGAAATGACATGGGAAAGGGCTTTTGAAAAATGTATATTTCATAATTTTTTGGACATTTTTTTGCAAACATTTCTACTATATGTAACTGGATTATGAATTTTTTTTTGCAAATTTGCAAATTTTTTTGAAGATTAAAAAAGTAGAGCATAAAAGCTTTCCAATGATGTATCATATTAGGATATCAAACATTGGATTTAAGAGGTTAGTCAATTACCCCCCCCCCCCCCNCAATTTATACATTGTTAATCACATTTCATCAAATAAGAGTTCAAAGGGTACCGTTGTGAATCGGGCCGGGCCCTCTTTGAATGCAAGGTCACTTAAACTTACTTGAGAAGATAGGATTAAGTATTTTTATTTGAGAGCTGTACGTTGCTTGGCTTCAAGCTAATTAGCTTCTGACTCTGACTCTGAATGATGCCTGAGCTGTGGAAAAATAATAAAAAATTAATTATTACAGAAAAAGGAGCGTGTGCAAGACAGGTTTACAAATTATACAAATTTCTAGGGAAAATTTAATTTTTATTGTAAATTTGATTCAAATTTATTTATGTGGAGAAGATATATCTTATAATTATCTAAAAGCATTATTAACTAAATTTACTATTCAGCTTATGATATAATTTGCCAAATTTTGCGTTATAACCAACGAGGTTCTAGTATATAGAGTGATGCTAATCCCTTACTAATTGTATAGGCCGAGAACTATACCGAGAGCGTACTGCATATTTGATTATTATAATGAGATTCTGGCCTAACCTATAGTATAAAATTATGAGTAAACAGCTGTAAGTGTACTGTAAAGCTAACTGAGCACACAGGTAGAGAACTATCATCCCCCCCATGGTTATAACCATTTATGCTGCTGGGCTATATTCGTACCGGCATGACATGCTTTATTTCTTCAAAAGGTTTTAACTGCCATCTAATCGCCACTTGTTGCATATATCAATACCCAGTTAGGGGTTCAGGGTTTTGAACATAGATTTCAACTTCAAAATCATAAATTTTTTGAATTTAGTCTATTTTTGAAGGTTTTTTATTTCGTATCCTTAAATATCCCATAATACAGATGTCTGCTGATTAGGCCCGTACTCCAGTTGTACACAATAGAACCTACTGTGGAAAAAAATCGCATTTTCGAGTCTTTAAGAGATCTCTGTACTCAGTTCAGTATTCTCTTATATCTGGCAAAAACATTTAAATAGGATAGAACACCAGACTAGTTTTTACACTGTTACATGCCACATGGAACTGTAAGCTTAATTTTTGTGACTCTCCGTGCTAAGATGGCACCGCCCGATTTCCAACGGTACCCTAGAAAGCTTTGTCTGATGAAGTATGAATAAGATATGCATGATTTCGTTTCTTAAAATTGTTTATTTTCATTTGCGGTTTCTCTGGAAAGAAACTTGCGCATTTCTTGTTTAAAAGAAGCAAAGGGGTAAACTCACAGAAAAACGTTTGATTAGATCAAGGTTTCCAGGGTACCGTTGGATATCGGGCATTGTCATCTTTGCATGAAGGGTCACTTCAAAATATGCTAACAGTCCCTTTAGACAACTAAAAGGTTGTCTGGCGAGTCTCATACTTTTTGAGAAACCTTGTATATTTAATTCACATTTAAAGCAGCCTGGCAAGCGACAAATATTACTTTTAACTTTGTCATAATTCTTTTGAGGATATCTGCACACTTAAACTAATAATATTTTTATGGATGAAACTTTCTAAAATAATGATGATGTATATAGATTTCGGCAATGGATTTGAGGTTCATGTATATTGTCACACTAGTAAAATAAACAGTAAGTGAAAAGTAAGATATTATAATCGCGCAAATATGCCCCTTTAGTAAAAGTAAATTCAACCTATATGAAGCATAAAGTCTGACCGCGTCAACCTTGTTGCACCGGCTGGTCCTGTCTATAGAGCTAGGTACAATACAGACTGGGACCGGAAAGGTTGACCTGGCTCGGAAATTCAAATGTACACGGCTGCTTGTGTACAGTTTGTTTGACAATTTAAAGCAAAAAGAATATGAGTCAGATGAGGGAATTACCTAATGCAAGACAAAATTAGTTAAAAGATAGAGTAAAACTTAATCATTCATGAAATTAGATAATTTTAAACAAAATCGTGCAGAATAGTTTATGAATTTGAAATTAGATTTTAAGTAGCTGATCCATAAAATTAAGAAATTTGAATATATCATGCAAAGGCTAAATTTGAACAATCGTCTTTACGCAACATCCCCTCTACTGAACTTCTGACTTAGATATACCTTTCCGACCTACTGCAATATCGAACTTACGACAGCTGTTTATTTTTGTATCATTTGCAGGTTAGGTTAGGTTAAGACAATTTCTTGGCCAAGCGCTGCGGTTAGGACAGGCTAGGGGGCCGGGCGCTGCGACCACAAGTCAATTTGGCAGCTGTAAAAGCACGTGCTAGTTTGTTGGATGTGTAAGTGTAGTATAGCGGATTTGTCGTAGGTCAGAAGTGAAGTATAGCGGATTTGCGTAGGTCGAAAAATACACCAACGAATATTGTTATACGGTGGTAGGCGATTATAGCAATATAATGAAGACGACTGTTTTATTTAAGTTTTAATTGATAACAAGATGTTTTCAAATTACAAGGTTACTAACAACTAAAAAGGCGCTTTCTTAATTGACAGCTCTGTTTCCAATGCTGTTCAAAATTTAATATAAATCAAAATTATATTAGTCTCCAGATTAATCAACCGATCAGGATTAAGAATATTTCATTCTAAATTTTCAGCTCAGAGCTGAGAACTTTAGAATGGTGGATATCGAGATCAATGCTTGATCCTCTCTTTTTCTTAATCTCGAGACTAACCTAATCTTGTACTTGTATCCTGAAAAGTGTATAAAATTCAACCAATCAGAAGCCGGGAAATTTGAAATTTTGCGCGCCATTTAAGATTAATATACAGAAACGGGGAGGAGTCTCTGTTTTTCAAAAACAGGTTTTTGATTTGTCTGTACTTAATCCAAAAAAGAGTGGATCAAGCAAGAAATTTAAAGTTTCCACATTGGATATTCGGATTAAGCAGTTGGGATTAAAGGTATCCCATAATAAAGTTCCCAGCTCAGTTTCTATGTTTTCCCAATTGCTTTTGAAATATCCCAAGTTTGCCAACCACTGCAAAACTAGAATATCGAACAACTGAACGTAGAAAGGCGGCAGCTAAAATACAAAATTATAATATATAGACTTTAGTTCAGTTTTGATTTGAAAGCGCAAAATAAAGACCAACGAATCCAACATTCGTTAAGAAGCAACTGGCATAGAAAATATAATTTGCCTAGAGGAATTGTTTTGTGTTGGCTGTTTTACTCAGGGGCGGATATAAGGATTCTGTAGGGGGGGGGAATTTTGGGTTCCCTTTATAAAATGATTTGCGCATTTTGCTTGCAAAAAGTTGTGAGAACACTTTTTAGGCTAAACACGATAGTATAATACTTGTTGGTGCTCTGCAGGTTTAATGAAATTAACGCCGTTTAAAGGGAGTGACCGGTAATGTATGGTAGCTTAACTAAGAATGTATAGTATTGCTGAGAAATATATTAGGATTCATTTGAGACATGTCTCTTAACGGTGGATATTTGTTCAGCAAGAGCGCAAATTTAATCTTAAAAATCCTTTAAAATGATTTTGAGAATCGGTTTATTTAAAATTATTCAAGACGACGACAAAAAATGTAACAAAAATTCTACAATGAAATTAATTGTTAGGAACAGACTGAGTAAAATTAACTCTTAATCATCGTAAATTACTTAATCTTACTTAGTTATTGGTTTCTTTAAAGTCTCTTTGTTCTTAAACAATTTCTGTAGATTTACTGGAATTTTTATTGAAAATACGACATTTAAAGAAATCTGCAAACAAATTTGTAAAAAAATAAGAAATTCAATATAATGATAAAAAAGAAATAATTTGATTCTAATATTGATTTATTGACAAATTTCTACGGAGAAATATGTTCCTATACATCTAATAAGTTTAGTGTAACATTTTTTGTCGTTGTTATTTTAAAAAAGAATCGATTCTAGAAACGTTACCACCCAAATGGATGATTTTGAACGTCAACTTTGCGCTTAAACTTAGTAATCATATTTCATTAAAACTTATCTAAAATAAATCCTATTCCCCCCACCACAATATTACATTTAGTTTAACTCCCATACATTGCCGGTCACTTCCTTTAATAAATGGAGAATCATATGAAATAACACCGGAAAGCTTCTTTCATCTCTATAGGTGGGTTCAAGTTTTTATACATTTTTATTCAGACAAAGGTTTTAAAGACCCCATTGTCAATAAAGCAGTCCACTCCATAAATGGATGTTCAATTGAAATGACGTATCCAGCTCCTTAAATAATGATAAATTTCGATAATACTTTTATTTAGATAAGGTCCAGGTACTGTTAAATATACAATCATGCAAGTCTCTATTTCCCGTGTTTGGCGCAGAAGAACTTGGCTCCGGCGGAGTTGACCGCGCGTGCGTGCTTTGTGAGAAGCGCGTTCACGTTCTGTTTAGGAGTAGTCAAAGGTTGGATGAACGGAGATATATCCTCTAGGTTCCAACGTTCCCTGGGTTATATAAAAAATCATTTTTTTTTTGAATTGCAAAGATGACGATACAACGATTCCCTTGAAACCTTAATAGGATCAATAATGTAGAAGATAACATATCTTTTCTGGGAATATAAGTGTTTTCTATTCTGATATATTATCGTTTCTCAAATGCAAGAAATGCGCAAGTCACTTTTGCAGAAAATCCAGAAAATTAAAATTAAAAGTAAAAAAAAAATTATGGATATCTAATTCAAACTTGATCAGACAAAGCTTTTGGGGCTGCCGTTATGAATCTTTGCATGGAGGGTAACTTTAAATCACGCGAACAGTCCCTTTAAGTTAATCTCCATTTAAAAAGATCAAGATTAACAATTAGTAATTTTTCAAATAGACCCTTTTCATTCAGAAAACATGTTTCTGAAAAGTTAAGGTTAAAAATCGAACAAAAAATTCAAAATTGGTACATTTAAGAACAATTTCGAACAATTTCTAAAAAATAAAAGTAAACCATGATAAAACCTATTGACAACCCTGAAATATTTATTTGTACTTTTCAGTGTTTTGACGATGTAAACTATTAAAATAAAAAAAAATAAAATATTTCCCTTTACCTGGCTGAGAAGAGGGCGCTAAGTCGGTCTGGAATATTGTTTGGAAGATCAGATTCAGCAAACCTCCTGATCAATTTAACTCAATTAAAACTTTACAACTCATATTATATTTCCTTTCAGCAATAACGGAGTAAGTTAAACAAGTTAATTAAGAAACGCGTTTTATCTCTGATAAGGAGATAGTGCGAATCGGCTATTTTAAATGGAACTAGCACATATTTTAATGGCTTTAATTAAGGAGTTTCTTCTGCTGGTAGTTAATATTATAAGTATTGTTATCTCGTCCAGTGAAACCCATAAAAATGTGGAATAGGAGGACGACATAATAACAATCTGACGTGTAACTGGTTTTTTTTCACAGCCCAAAAATCAACTTCTAAAGTTAAGTGAGTCTTTCTCTGTACAATTGGACTAAATAAAATCATAACTTGAGTTGAAAAGTCATCTCAGTACAGTTTAACGAGTTACTGTATAAAAGTTTAGATATGATCAATAAAAAGTTTATTTCAATGAATAAAGATTCAAACAAAACAACTTTTTTGTCTCAATAAAACACTGTTTTCCCTTTATTTAAAAATAGGTAATTTCTAGAGACTTGCAGGTTTTATGCAGCAGTGACAAAGAACTGACGTTTTCAGTCCCTTTAAATATATATATCCTACCTAATCCTGCTGAGAGTAGACTGGGAGTCTCTTTAAATTTATATATCCTACCTAATCCTGCTGGGAGTATAGTGGGAGTCCCTTTAAATATATATCTCCTACCTAATTCTGCTGGGAGTAGACTGTGAGTCCCTTTAAATATATATCTCCTACCTAATCCTGCTAGGAGTACACTGAGAGTCCCTTTAAATATATATCTCCTACCAAATCCTGCTGGGAGTAGACTGTGAGTCCCTTTAAATATATATATATTTCCTACCTAATCTTGCTAGGAGTAGACTGGAACTCCTTTTAAATATATATATCTCCTACCTAATCCTGCTGGGAGTAGACTGGGAGTCCCTTTGAATATATATATCCTACCTAATCCTGCTGGGAGTAGACTGGGAGTCCCTTTAAAAATATATCGCCTACCTAATCCTGCTGGGAGTAGACTGGGAGTCTCTTTAAAGATATTTCTCCTACCTAATCCTGCTGGGAGTAGACTGGGAGTCCCTTTAAAAATATATCTCCTACCTAATCCTGCTGGGAGTAGACTGGGAGTCCCTTTAAAGATATATATCCTACCTAATCCTGCTGGGAGTAGACTGCGAGTCTATTAGTGCTAATCCAGAGAGCTGAGATATATCCGTTTTTATCCCCTCTGGTACAGCCTGAAGTTTAAATTCTTTTTTTCTATTTTGAAAGAACTGATTGCTTATTTTTTATTACTTAAACCTTTTCCACCTGATGTCGTAGACATTTGAAATCTGAAGTCTTTCAGGTCATCAAAAGTTGAAACCATCAAGTTGCAAAGATTGAAGAATTCAAAAATTAGAGTTTGTGGCAAGTGTCCTTTAAACATGACTTTCTAGATTTCCGAATGAAACGTTGATTAATGTGGTTCAATTTTATATTTTTAAGGCTCAAACTTCTAAGATATATATGATGAAAACACTACTATATCTATCCTATAATTGCAAAGGTACAGATTAAAAGGTTTCCGGATTAAATTAGGCATTCCAACCCAATAATCTTGCATAAAATTAGATCTACAGTCGCTTTAATCAGAATTTTCCTTTTAACGAGAAAATTCTCAAGTCTTTTTAGATTACATTTTGTCCCGAGCTTTAAATGAAACCAACCTTTTGCCACATCTCGAGAAATTCATCTTCAGTGAAATTGGTCCCTGGAGACAGAAGATAGTCTCCATAAAATCTAGAAATAACAGTAACAGTAACAGTAACGGTAACAGTAACGGTAACAGTAACGGTAATAGTAACGGTAACAGTAACGGTAACGGTAACGGTAACGGTAACGGTAACGGTAACGGTAACGGTAACGGATAAGGTAGATGTATGAGTTGACTTGTATCTAAGGAGCTGTATCATAATTAGATCCTGACTATTACCTGGCAACTTTGTTTTTATCCAATGAGAACTGGTTTTCTTCTCCTCCCAGCATAGGTGTGCAGTAAATATCAAACACCTGTAAAACAAGTTCTTATGACCTTAAATGAGCTCAATTTTCCCCCCAGAAATTTTAAGTTACTTAAGGTTGACAGTCTCCTTAAAGTTGTTTATATCAAACACAACTATCAAATACGTTGACAGTCTCCTTAAAGTTGTTTATATCGAACACAACAATCAAATACGTTGAGAGTCTCCTTAAAGTTGTTTATATCGAAAACAACTATCAAATACGTTGAGAGTCTCCTTAAAGTTGTTTATATCGAACACAACTATCAAATACGTTGACAGTCTCCTTGAAGTTGTTTATATCAAACACAACTGTCAAATACGTTGACAGTTTCCTTAAAGTTGTTTATATCGAACACAACTATCAAATACGTTGACAGTCTCCTTAAAGTTGTTTATATCGAACACAACTATCAAATATGTTGACAGTCTCCTTGAAGTTGTTTATATCAGTTGACAGTCTCCTTGAAGTTGTTTATATCAAACACAACTATCAAATGGAAATGAATATAGCTAGTTCTGACCTGGCTTAGTATCTCTTTGTCGACAAGATCTTTTAGAGTTTCAATACTTTCCTGACCAATTATTTAACAATAAAAAAACGAACTACTTCCATGACAGCATTGCTACTGCTACTTCAAGAATGTAAAGAACAAAATTAAGGAAAATAAAAATAAAAATACAATTGAAAAAAAAAATTGTCTGTTAAATATTCTCCCTTTTTCTCTACACAATCCAGAGTCCAGGAATTTTCATCGAAAAATCTGAAAAACAAATAAATTTTAGCTGCACCATTCTTCCAGAAATACTGAGTTTTCTAAACAAAAAAATACACTTTTTATGTGATTATACCTGAGAAGGAAAGAGAGAGCTTTCATTTGGAACTCTTGATCCAAACCAAACCATTTCCCTTTCAAATATTTTAAATTATCAAAATTTCTCGCATGTATGTTCCAAAACAATTGAGGAAATTGTACAGAGACAAAATAGAACATTTAAAGCTATATTAACGAATACTGAATAAAGGTTTGAAGGATACTATAATACCACTTTACAAACTGACGACCACTTAAATAAGGACTGCAGTCCTTATTAAAGTAATGTTCTTAAACTAATGTTTACAATCCCTTGTATAGGAATAACACTATAATTTGAAAATATGCCTTTGTATTGAACCGCTTCAAAACTCTTCAATCCCTCGTCAAGCTCGCGTTCACTTGCCTTAATTATATTAAGTTAATATTAATTTCATTTAATTTTGATGGAATTTATCACACCTAATATTTCCCGTTGTAGGGTGATTAAGTGACTTTATCGCCCTACAACATGGCGAAAAAGTAACTTTTTCACCCTGCTTTTAAATAATTTGAGTAAAACTGAATAAAACTATGTAGAAAACTATGTATGTTATTAAAATGGGTATCATGCGAACAAGATTTTGCCGGCATTCTAAATTTTTCTAGTTTGTTTTCGATCAAAATTTAAGTAGAAAAAATAAAAATGCCGACAAAAACTTTTTCGCACTTAATAATACCCATTACAATGACATAAATAGATAATCTTATTCTTATATACTAACTAGTTTGGAAACCTTGTTATGCCCGGAGAAAGTAGATACAAACAAAGCAAATCACTACTTTATATAAAGATAAGATAATATGTTATCTAGTAGCAGCAATAGAGTTCTTTCTATGTAAAACACAGCTCTTGGCATTACAATTAACCTTAAACATCATATTTAAACAATTCTGTTATTAAACCGGAGTCTAAAACTAAAGAATACGCGAGTTTTAAGCTATACTGTTACATATGAAAGAAAAATGAACCAATACAACTACTCATTAGATCTAATATTCGACGAGTCGGTTTTTCTTACAATTTATTATTATTTACAAAGATACAAATCCTATAGGAAAATACTATACGAATCAAATTGCATGAATTGAGAATGTTCCGAGTGATGGGAGATCTCCAGGGGAACCTATTAACTAGGGAGCTGGTCTTCAACTGCCATTTTTCCCAAAATTTCACTCCACCCTCGACTAGAGCTTAACCCTAGTTCCCCGGGAGCTGGCCGGCCATCCCAGATGGAGTTTGGCTACGAGTAAAGATTTACCTGAACAATATTTAATAACGTATTCTTAGATATTCCACTGTCCACAAGATCACACCCTTCCCTGAATAAATAAAACTCCTTAAAATTTTATATGTGGAGTGATATGTCTGATGGACAACGGTAACCTTTAAACCAGTTTCTGATGAAGAATCTCTGAGCCATTCTTAATTTACGACAATAAAATTTAGTTGCGGGAAAACGGAGTACATACTACATACTGTACAGTGTACAGTGTACAGTTTACACACCATATTTGACTATATACAATTTATCGAGCTTGAAGAAATATTTTCTGATTATCTTAATTAAACTTTTGAGAAAATGAAGCCCTAGTACATATAGTGTACGAACCTGACAGTGTTTTCATCTAGTATATTATTATTCAGAAGTTCTCGAAGTTTTTCTAGCTTAGGTCGGATCTCCTGGAACCAATCAAACAAATAACAATACTTCCTTTCCACTAACCTACATACTGCAGGGGTGTATTTTTCTAGAACAAGCATTTCCCCCCTTTAATTTTTTTTTTCAAACAAGATGAATTTTTGGTTAAAAGTGTCAAAAGGAATTAAAAAACTTGCGTTTTGATGTCAAATTTTCATTTCCATCCCCAAATCTTCAATAATCACTGATAATCAATTACTGAGTACTGACTAACTGACATGAACATAAACTTTTTGATTGATAATATTCCTTAATTTCTAAGTATTTGTAGAAAACTCCACTATAAAAAGAAAAATTCTAATTAAAAAATACTGATTTATTAGTTTTTAGAATTTAAAACAAAAATTAACTTTTTTACTTTAATCAAAAAATGAATAATTTAAAACATTTTTCTCCCTGACTTCAACCTGATCTAGCATCCGCTCTTCACCTTTACCAACTTCCTATTTTAAAAATACTTTTAATAATGAAATTTTTGAGATCATTTAAAGGGACTGTAAGCTTTAATTCAAGTGACCCTCCAATAAAGATGTCAATGTCTGATTCACAACAACCCTAAAAGTTTTGGCTGATCAACTATGAATTAGATATTAATGTTTATAATTTTAAAAAATAAATATTTTCAATTGTGGATTTGCTTAAAAAGTGTTTAGTGCGTTTCATGCAGTACAAAAACAGAATTTAATAGAAAAAAAAACACTTTTAAACCTAGAAAAACGACAATATCTTCCACTTTATTGATCAGATAAAGGTTTCAAGGGTACCGTTGTAAATCGAGCATTGCAATCTTTGCATGGAGGGTCACTTGAAATTACGCTTCGTGATCAGGCATTTGAAAAATACTTGATGAACCAGAAAGAACAAAAATTAACATCCTACCAGTGCTTAGGATCCATTTAATTTTGATGCGGATCCGGACCCTGGATCCGCACTGGGAGAAAAATGGATCCAAATCCGGATCCAGGTCATTTCTTTAATATTTACAGAATTTTTTTAATAAAAATAATTTACAAATTTTTCGCTTTATTTTTTTTGCTTATTTTTATCCTAAAACTTAATGAACCATTCAGAAATGAGGAAATTTTTATAATCTCTCTTTTTTCAAAATACATATTTGGGTTTTCGCAGTAAAAAAGTTTTTTTTTTACAGTTTATGGTTGATATTTTACACTTTGGATCCGGATCCCTGGATCCGCATATTTTTGCGTATCCGGATCCAGGAAGCCAAAATCTTGCGGATCCAATAGATCCGGATCCTAAGCACTGCATCCTAAATGATTAAACTTAAAAGCCGTTGGGAAATTTTAAAACTTTTCAAATGAAATTTAAATAAAAAATAATGGCGGGGGGGGGGGGCCCCCACAAATTAGAAAAGTGGCAAAACAAACCAAAGAAAGGGATGGAATTGTTTATTTTTACTGAAGATTTCAACAATAATAATTTTCGAATAAAACTGTGTGCATTCAAAAAATTGATTTTAAAAAAACTTGTTCTAAATATCAAGTTTTGAATTAAATGTTGAGCATATTGATTGTCGCTATGGTATAAGTTGTTTGAAATTACACATAATGAATACAACGAATTAACCCAGAGCAGATTGTAAATTCAGGGGTGAGAGACAAGCCTATGGGTGAAACACGAGGGGGGGGCTAGTGAAGACTCTCTACCTGAGCTAAAGATAGGTTGGTAAGGATGAGAAGAGAGTTAGAAGTTTCAGCTTCCTTCACATCGTATGTTCTAAATCATAATAAATACAGGGTGTCCCAAAATTGAGGTACGGTTTTTGATCTTCAAAATAATTTGTGGAATTCGTTTTTCAAACCACTCTAAAATGTCTAAAATGTCTAAAATGTATGATTCTTGAAGTTCAATATTAAAAAAATACCCCTAGTCATGACATGTGGCCTACTTCATTTATTCTCTAATTACCAGACCACATTTTGGACTAGGCATATTTATCAAAGACTTTCTTAAAGTCTTCTCTCAAATGTAATTTTTCGTGGGACATAAAATTTTTATTTGTTGCAAATTATAACAAAAATAATGCATCATTTCACGAAAAAAACTATAACGATTTTTTCTTAAATAAAAAATCTTACTTGTCTTTAGAACATAAAACGACCCCCTCCTCCTCCTCTCCTCTACTCACAAGAATTAAATATTTAATTGTACAAAATTGATAGNAAACTAAAAAAAAAAAAAAAAAAAAAAAAAAAAAAACAATAAAACCTTATAAACCCACTGGGCAGGGGTTTTTCCAACCTGAGTGCGCAAGTCACGCTTGTAAAGAATTGAATTTATCAGTTTTGTTTTCAAAGTTATTAACATTATATCTAATTCATACTTGATCAGAATAAGCTTTTAACTGTTCCATCGTTGGGATTCCGGCATTGTCATTTTTGCATGGAGGGTCACTTTAAATTTGACTTCATGACACTCGAATAAATGAGTAAACTTTACTATATTCTGATTTAAAGTTTAAGTGAATTGATTGATATAAAGTAAAATAGGTTTATGGATAATTATTAAATGTTAATCAGATAAAAATAACATTTAATTCATGTTCTTAACATTTATTCAATTTTGATCCGGATCCGGTAAATGATAAATACTTCAAGCTTGATCAATATCTTTTATCCCAGGTAAATTTGGGTTCAGCATTGATCTACCAAACAATGAGAAAACACATGGACTGAAAGAGACAAAACTAATATCCACCTAAAAGCTGTTGACTGAAGGAGACGAAATTAATATCCACCTAAAACCTATGGATTGAATGGTACGAAATTAATATCCACCTAAAAGCTGTGGACTGAATGATACAACTTGACTGACCGGTTTCAAGTCGCTCTCTACCAGCTTGGCGTGATCTATCACAGTTCGAACCTTGAATAATAATATTCTTTAAAGGAACTGTAAGCGTAATTTCAAGTGACAAATTATACAAAGATAGCAATACCAGATTTAAAACGGTGCCCTTGAAACCTAACTCTGATTGAAAAAGTGGAAGATGATGTCGTTTTTCTGTCCAAGTGTTAATTTCTCTATTGTTTGATGTTTCTGATAAGAAAGAAATGCGCAAGTCAGTTTTGTAGAGAAATCACAAAATAAAAAATAGAACTTATCAGTGTACCATCGTAAATCAGGCATTGCCATCTTTCATAGAGTCTTACTCAAGATTAGTATTATACAAATTTTATACAGAAAGTTTGTTTTTTAACATCCTAAAAAAATCAAAGATAAGGGGGAGGGACCAACCAAATCTTTTCTTCTGCTGTTTAACTATACCTCATCAACTGATCTTTCAAACCCAAACTCCTCATCCATATTTAAAACCATTTTTCTGCAAAACCAATATCATATATTTATTTCAAATAATAAATATTGGAAAAAAATAATTTTCATTATTGGTTAGGTAAATGTAATGCTGTTGGCCTCTAAATTTCCGCTAGTAGAAAAGTTTCATTTTTACATCTGGAAAAAGACCGTAAAAAAATGACACATTAAGAAAATCAAAAATAATATCTGAACTCATTTTCACAATCACAGTTTTTCAAAACTATATTATAATCAAATTCAGTTCTTGATGTTTGTGAAAAAAAACATTAAGCCTAGACTTTGGCAATGGGACTTTAATATTTTTCCGACATCTCTTGGAGTAGTTCTCTTGATTCTTGTGAAATCTACGCTTCAAGGAACTGCTGATAGTTTTTTATCTTCTGTGAAAGATCTGCGGGAAGAGGAACATTGAGAATATGTTCCTTAAACTCAACAACAATCCTAAATTTAATAAAAATATAAACAAACATAATACTTGACAAAGGAATTGAGTTTCTTTGCCTCAAACTCAATTTATAGAATCCCTATATCCTTGCAACCTGATGGTGCAAATCTATGATATTTTAAACGCAGGTGATATGATATAACAGAATTTATAGTTTGATATATCAAAAGAAAACCAAATTGGGTTGGAAAGATAAATGAATTAGAAAATCCGAGTTTGTGGCAAAGACTCAATTCCTTTATTTTTTATCTTTACATATATTTATTTGCCTTGAATGTTGGTTTCTTTAAATTCAAATATTTGAATCTATAACATTTAAACTTTCGTTAATTTTTAAATTACAAAAAGATCCGCGAAATAGATAACTGCAGTCTGCAGGTAATGGGAATCAATCCAATAAGATATATATCGGAAATCCACTAAAAGAACAGTTGATGAAAAGGGGCGAGGTAATTATTGATGAAATGATTCTCACAAATCTTAACAAGGGCGTGTTACCTAAAAATTGCGGATTTTACCGCGCTCTTGAGTTCGTGCTTTAGATGAACATCCGGTATATCCGCACTCTTCTTCCTGATAATTATCTATTATTTTCATAATATTATTAAAAGACAACCCACAATATTCAAAGAAATATGGGTCGGCGCTTTCAACCGCCGAAAAATTCCCATTTGAATAGTATTAAACAAATTAAAGGGACTCTAAGCGTAAATCAAACTAACCCTCCATGCACAGAGGGCAAAGCCCGATTTACAACGGGGTTGATGAATAATTCCAAAAATTCATTTTTTTCCTCTTAAAAATCATTTACTTTTCCCAATCCTAACTTGACACTTTCTCAAAGAGGAAAACATTTCCAAGAAAATATACAGCCCTGATTTCTACCTGTAATATACAGCCCTGATTTCTACCTGTAATATACAGCCCTGATTTCTACCTGTAATAAGGAACACCGTGTCCTCTACACCTATCAATGTTCTGTTCTAGGAGAAGAAGATTGGTGAGAATATAAGGTAAATCCTTCTGAACAACTCCATACCTTCATAATTCATCAATCATCAAATATGTAGATTTATTTCAAAAATCAAAACAGCCAAAAAAACTTAAGATATGTTTGTTTCACATATTTCTTTAGAGGGTGTCCATACTTTAAAAAATATCAGAATCTTAGTTTTTGAAGTTTCCAAATTTAAGAAAATGTTCATATTTATATAAAATGTTTTTAAACTTCAGAACTTTAAAGTTGCCCACCTTCCATGTTTAATGAAGCGTTCAAGATTAATGTAAGTTCCGACCTGAGAGGAACTACAAGTAGATCATAACTTCATCAGAAACCGAATTTAAATAATTTGAGCACCGGCTCAAATATGGTTGGTTCCACTTCAAGATTTAAGCCGGCGCTCAATTAAAACCGGTTTTTGGGGGATTTAATACGCGACTCAAATTTATTAAATTCGGACTCCGTACTTTTTCAATTTCGATCAGAGTTTCTTAAAATTCTTAACAAGTGGTTTAAATTTTTTTTAAATTGAATCTTTAGAAATACAAGATTAAAATAAAATGGTTCTAATCAAGGAATAATTTTTTGGTCCCATCATCTCCAACAAAAAACGACTAACAGTGAATTCAGCCCCGCTGTAATGTTTTATACCTGTCTTCTTTAATACTGGCGCTCACTAGAAAAGAGAGAATTTCCACGCAGAATATTACAAGCTGAGATCTAGCAAATTATTATAATTATTAAAATATTCATTCAGATTGACACGGGTCAATATTTCCTCAGTCAATGCATTTAACCCCTCTTTAGCTATATGTTTTTTCTTCCTTGTGTTAGGGGATGTATATCTCTAAATTGGTGGAAAATTAATTATTTACAATGATAAATAAATACATTTTGGGGTGATATTAACATAGGGGAAAATAGACTGAAGTACTATTTTCATTTATTCATCAAAACATCACTTTATTGCTATTTTGAATGTTTAAGTTTAAGAAAAAATACTAGTTTACGTCTTGTCATTAATAAACTAAGGAATTACACCAGTTTAATGTTAATTGTGGCTTCCTGTATTACCGTGTGAATACAACTCGGAAAGGAACATCAGGGGCCTGATTGACCAACCAGCCGACTAAAGGTCGTCTTTTCAAGCTGTCCAGAACAGATTCACAAAACTGGTTTATACGACCAGGTAGAGAGGGCGGGATCGGCAGCACAGGAACTACCTGGAAATTTAAAATAAAAAATCTGAATAGGAACCTGATATAGAATCCACAGACTTTATAAAAAGCGAGAAATAGCTGAACCGCAAAGAGGTAGTTCAACGATTTCTCTTGTGCACCGGTTCAAACTGAAGGTTGATGGTTGAACCATATCTTCGCGGATCAACCATATCTCGCTAGCGGTTATTCATTGAATCAGGTCTCTGGAACTGTTTCAGACTAAGTCACAATATCTAACGCCATAAAAATGTTATTATCGAAGTGGTGACGTCAATATCGATGGTTTTGCTCAAAAAGTGTTAACAGTAGTTGAATAGGCTGGTATGATGCAATGGCAGGAAAATATACGTGGGCCACTAAACAGCACTAGGTTATTGTTCCAAGTCTTTATGGAGAATGGCAGGAAAATATACGTGGGCCACTAAACATCACTAATAAGTTATTGTTCCAAGTCTTTAAGGGAAATACTTCCAAAATTTAGGAAAATAAAGGAGTAAGAATAAAAATATGCCATATTTACTCAAATTTGAAAATTAATTTATATTCTGTTTTTTGATGGTTGTTTTTGCCGAACAATATAGCACAGAAAAAAATGCGTACAGGTAAAGGAAAACTCGAGCAGGGCGCAGACCTAGTTTTATAAAGATGTAAAAAGTTGGGACCTGTCTGGCGGACGTCGGGGCAAGACGGCGAATGTTTGGCGAAAGTAGTTCTATCTGAGGCGGCGGCGGAGGTTCTATTGGACCAATCTAGAAATATATTTTATTTTCAAATTAAGATTTTCAGATCTTCCAAACAGGGATAATCAAAAATATTCAGAATAGAGACTAGGATTGAAAACAGTCCCTTTTATTACCTTTTTAAAGTCATTCATCTTCTTAAAGGAAATGCAGACGTAATTTAAAGTAATTCTTTATTAAACGAGCGGATAAAATGTTAAAATAAACATTTGTCGAGCTGGAAAAACGGCGATATTTTCAATATTTTGATCCGATAACGTGTAACCCTCTACAAAATGGAGGCTCACTTGAAACAACGACTGTCCTTTTGATGACTCTCAATGACTTTTGACTTTTAGGGACTGGGATATTTTAGGGGTAACAGAGTTTAACATAGATAAAGGTTTAATAGATTTAAGGAAGATTATTTGCAAGAATTTAAACAAAATTAATATTTTTAGAAGTCAACATTGTTCAAGCTTCCCACCTCTTTAGCTGGAGCTGGGGGAGCTGGGGAGAGGAGGGAATTCAGATCATCCTTCATGCTTACAATGTGCCTAAACATTATATAACTATTTATAATACTATTATTTTGGTTCGCAGTGTTATAAAGATTTTTGACAGAAATTTTCTCTTTACCGATAAGGTTCAAGCCTTTTCAGATCTTAAATATTATCTAAAAAGGCGAGAACCTTTGACACACGTGCTATAATGTACAGCTAATTTAACTTTATGGCACGATGATTTCATTTTAGCACGTTCATATAAAAATTCACCATGAAGTACACATTAATTCAATAAAAATTAATTTAGTTAATACTTGCTTTTCCTCCACTTTGTTTAGAGACGTATTTCTAATAGCTGAATTGAGAAAAAAAAATTGGAGTGAAAAGTAATGAAGCAAAGGAAAAAAGTTTTTTTTTAAAAGTTTTTTTCGTTTCATGCATTAAATATTCTTTTATAACGACAGTAATTACCCCGCCGTTCTCTATTAATTGAATTTAAATCCTCGAAACCTGTGACAGAGGCTAAGTATTGAATTCCAGGTGTGAGGATGACCTCCGGGCAAAGAAAGAGAGAAAACCTCACGTCGGATATCCGGTTTCTCCGCCACCTGGTCCACCAGATTCTAAAATTATGTATCTCGTTTAAATTGTATTAAATAAATTTTTCTTAAATCAAATCAAGCCAAAGCAAGAAGCCAGGAATGGTCCAATAGATCCTTGAAGTCAATTCAGATCATTGCTTTTCAGTCTGACATAGTTTAAGCCTTACGACCAAATTTAAGCCAGGATACCGGTCTAAATTCATTAACGCCTGGTTTATATATATATATATATATTTTTCTTTATATCTTTAGGAGTAGGGTAGAGAGGAGTAGAATAGTAGAACCTACCCCAGCAAGTAAGTTTACGTACAGTGAATCCCAGATATATGAATACATAGACCGTCATAAGTTTTTTGATAATTCTAAAGAAACTTATTTTTATTTTTAATTCAAGGTAAATTAACAGCCCTGAAATATGAATGCAATTGATATATTAATATTAAACTCATTTTCCCGCGGCATTTGATCTTAAATATGTAATACGACATTATAAAAAACTCTTGCTATGTATTCAATTCATATATCTGGGATTAATTGTAGAAAGGAGTACATTGGTTGTACATTGGTTCATATACATATATATTTATATATATACCTGTAAGAGTAGGGTAGAGAGAAGTAGGTTAGTGGAACCTACTCCTTCAAGTAGATTAGCAAGCTCTAGATGAACTGGTTGTGTTAAATTAACAGAAACCCAGGAACTGATAGTGAATCTTAGTACCTAAAAAGTTTCATCTCGTCAAAATTAGTAACTTTACGAGAATTCATTTTGTTACTTTTAGGATATTTCCTAACAAATAGCTTGTAAGCCTACTTTTTGGGAAAGAGATATATTCTTATTACAATGCCCCTCCCCCCCCCACCCAAAAAATTAATGAATTTTCGAACCAAAATTTAAAATCAGCGAGAAATGCATAAAGATCCTAGTCTGAAAACATTTCATTTCAGGCAGTAAAAACTTAAAATTACCAATCAAACACTCGATCAATGGAGCAAAGATGGTTCTACGGTGGCTCCTAAGGTCTAGAATAAGACTACCTTGACGTATAAAACGACCAGCCAACAATGAGCTACTAGGGTTGGAGAAAGCAGTTCAAGATAGCCTAGTCCAGCCGGCCTAAATACAAACCATTATTGTTATTATTTTCATGAATAATCAACCTACAGTCCAATAATCATGCCCTGTATATTATGTTATATGAGCCGATTGAGTTTTTTCTTTTAAGGTTTAAGTAAACATTTTAAGCTTGGCTTTCCAAAAATATTTATCAAAAAAATAAAAATCAATTTTATGATTTGATTCCCCCCCCCCTTTGTTTTGACCTGAAAATTGATCTTAAAACATCTCTTTCAGCCCCCAAAAAAAGAAAAGGGCCCCCCCCCCCCCCGCTAAAATGTTGCCACAAACCTGAATATCCCCCCGAACAGGACTGATATGACGAGGTAGAGAGGGTAATACACTCTCAAGGTGTAGAAGGAATCTAAGCAAAGCCTCATCAGATTAGAGTCAAGCTTAATCTTAAACTACAAACACAAACACTACTTCAAGGGGAAAGTATTTTCGAAGAGTTGGGGGAAAAATAAATTTTTAATCAACTGACAAATTTTCCTTTATATTTAGATATCTTTAAGCCAAAAAATCTTTTCACTAAAATGTTCTCCAATGCAACAGAAAACTTTAAAATTTCTAGAACACTGGAAACAACACTTTTAAACTGTTGAATGTCCATCCAATCAGAGGTAGCGTCATACCCAGTAGGCCAATATCTGGCACTTTTTAGTAAAAAATAAGCAATGATGCAAAGTAAGGTCTACAAAAAGAGATATCTTTTTGTTTCTTATAATTGAAACAAAATTCAAAATTGTTTGTTTCTTGTTTTAGATGTGTAGTGTAATTACTAAATAAATTTCAGGGGTGTGTAATTTTCCGAATTAGGGAGCAAAATATCTAAAATTGTACGTCAACAGGCAAGTTTATTCATCCTTACTGATGCCTTTTTGATCAAAAATTCTGTAAATAATTCATTATTGAAAAAAAAAACCAAAATAAACATTAAACATCCTCAACTTCTGAAAAAGAAAAAGATTTTCAAAAAGAGGGGGGGGATTTTTCAAGAAAATGTACACCCCTAAATAGTTTTGTTGTTTGTGGTTTCCTGAGAGAATCTGTCCAATCCAATGATAGGTATACTTGTATAGTTCCCGTTCTTGAAATGGAATACAATAGCTTCAACAAGTCCTTCAAAATACACAGTTAATTGATTGATTTAAAATGATTCAAAATAATTCAAAAGTTTCTAAAGGAGTTTATCAAACAAAATGAGTTTGGTCCTAAAAATAAACATAGAGAAAGCTTTTCCAATTTGTAAATCGACATGAACCATTAAATTGTTTAATCAAAATTCACCAATCTACATTTTGAAAAGTGGGTATTTGTTCTCTTTTCTTGGGGTTCTGAAGGTCTAAATGGAGGTCAGTGACCTTCGATTCCAAAAAATTCACTCAACGATTGAAAATTACTGTAAATCTGATTGATTGATCCAAGTTATAGGAGTGGTAGAATTAGTGAACTTGGCAGGAAACATGTAGAAAAATTAATGATTGAATGATTGATTTTTTTAATCGAAACAAAATTATATAAAAACCTTAAAATATGTTTAACTTACAAACGTTGATTATGTAAAAAAACGCCACCCTATATGTTTGCAACATATAGAACGTTAAACTTAGACTGTTTTTAAGAAAAAATATTTAAATAAGGATGATTGATTGAATAAATAAAAAATGGAATAAATAAATATAATGACAAATTAATGAATATTCAATTATCGAAGAAACATAAGAAAAATTATACGTAATCTTAACTAATATTTTTTATTTTTCACCATAATTTTCTAACAAATATAAAAAAACGAATCATCACTACAGTAAATTTTAATTCTAATTTATATTACTATTTATTTTTGAATAAAAAATCTGATAAAAAAAAAACCTGAGAAAACTCCCGCGAAAAGTAGGAAAATATGAACTTTATTGTAACAGAAGCTACTGTCAATTTCCTTGCAGGGAGCTGTCAGATTAGAGAAGGGAGCAGCTACAATCTGCAGCAGCAACCAGCTGCTGCAGAACCCAAAACCTTAACATTTCATTTCTATATTAGGAGAATTGATCTTTTTGTAGCAAAAAAAGGAAGCTTAAAATGTCAAAAATAAAATTAATTTTACTTTTAAAGTTCTTTAACCCACATTTTAGAAAGAAGGTAAAACATGTAAAATCTGTTATTGACTGTTTTTTAAATGTGACATAAAAGATTTTAGTTTACGAAATTTATACCCTTTTTTAACATTTATTATTCCATGTGGGGCNTGGGGGGGGGGCAGACCACAAAGCCTCCTTCTTGCATACGCCTCTGGAGCGTATTTTCTTGCTTCTATCTTTATCCTTTATTTCTTTTAGCAGCGAAGTCCAAACTAAGGCTTCGGATAATCAGTTTTAAGAGACTGACCGATATAATTTCAATTCACATCCCCACTCTTTCCACTTTAGTCTGCGCAGAAACAGATACTACGTTGTTTGTCTTTGTTTAAATGTAAAAATTGATTATTTTCTAATGCGTTGACTACATCTAATTAATTGACTTGCGAAATTATGCAACAGAAAGAAGGAAGGAAAACCAAGGGGTAATGTATAGAAACATGTAACTATTTCACTGGTGGGTTAATTGAAAGTACGTTGATAAATGATAATCTATTTTAAGAGTTTCAGGCTGCCATTGAAGTTTAATGTTTGTAGGTATATTTACCAATGAACTGAAGAAAGGAAATCAGTATTTCCGGCCGAAAAGTCTGCGCTAACGTCCACACCACCGACTTGGCAACACAGGGAATGACACTGAAAAAAACAAACAACTTTTTTCTCAAATCATAAAAAATTAAAAATCAAAATAAATAAACAAATAAATATAAGTTAGAATTTGAATACAAATATGCCCAGTAAGAAAGAAAGAAATAAACAAGAACGGAATGACGAGCAATCTTAAGTAATCCAACAAGTTTATACTGACTTGACAATGACATGCTAGATACATCAATAGCCCGCGATTTAAAAAATATGGGAAAATACGGCTCGGGTCTAAGCTGTCGTTGGGCCTTATTTACGGCCCAATACTCAACATTGAGATTTATTCTCCACTAAAACCAACCAAGGTCGGTTTTATTTCCATTGGACCTAACTCCTTAAGTCGAGCCGAAGATCTTGCAGCTGTCAATCACGTGAAACAAGCTGTCGTTAAAGTTGGGTCGAAGATTGGGTCTTAAAGTCGGGTTAAAGGATTTAAAACTCGAGTTGAAGTTTTTATAAAGCAAGAAAGAAAGAAATGAACAAGAACGGAATGACGAGCAATCTTAATAAATCCAACAAGTTTATACTGACTTGACAATGACATGCTAGATACACCAGAGCCCGCGATTTAAAAAATATAGGAAAATACGGCTCGGGTCTAAGCTGTCGTTGGGACTTATTTACGGCACAATACTCAACATTGATCTTTATTCTCCACTAAAACCAACCAAGGTCGGTTTTATTTCCATTGGGCCTAACTCCTTAAGTCGAGCCGAAGATCTTGCAGCTGTCAATCACGTGACACAAGCTGTCGTTAAAGTTGGGTCGAAGATTGGGTCTTAAAGTCGGGTTAAAGGATTTAAAACTCGAGTTGAAGTTTTTAAATCGCAGGCTCCGACCTAATATTACATGTTTACCTTGACCTCATATGTTTGACCAGAAATTTTTGACCTGACTTAACTAGGAATAAATGAGCTGACAGGACCTTAAAGTAAATGACTTGACATGACCTAAAGTAAATGACCTGCCATGACCTAAAATAAATGACCTGACATGACATGAAATGGTTGACATGACATGAAATGACCTAAAATGACCTGACATGACATGACCTAAAATGAGCTGAAATGAATGGTAATGAACTGAAATAATTTACCTGACATGACCTAAAATATTTGATATTAAATGACCTGAAATGAGTAATTGATCTGATCGGTTATGAGGACTGAAAATATTTAACCTTAAATGACCTGAAATGAATAATTTAATCTGACCGGAAATATTTGATCTTAACTATTTGACCCAAATGATCCTAAATGAATAATTGATCTGACCAGTGATGTTTGACAGGAAATATTTGACTTTAAATAACTTGAAATTAGTGAATTATCTGACTGATGATGTTTGACCTTAAACGACCCGAAATGAAGGAACGATCTGACCAGAGATGTTTGACTGGAAATATTTGTCTTAAATAACCTGAAATGATTGATTGATCTGACCGATGATGTTTGACCTAAAATATTTAACCTAAAAAACCTGAAATGAATGAATTGATCTGACCGGAAAAGTTTGACCTTAACTATTTGACCCAAATGACCCGAAATGAATAATTGATCTGACCGGTGGTGTTTGACTGGAAATATTTGACTTTAAATAACTTGAAATTAGTGAATTATCTGACTGATGATGTTTGACCTAAAACGACCCGAAATGAAGGAACGATCTGACCAGACATGTTTGACCGGAAATATTTGTCCTAAATAACCTGAAATGAATACTTGATCTAAACTGGTAATGTTCGACCTTAAAACATTTGACCTAAAAAACCTGAAATGAATGATTGATCTGACCGGTGATGTTTGACCGGAAATGTTAGACCTAAATGACCTGAAATGAATGATTGATCTGACCGGTCATGTTTGACCGGAACATGTTGACCCAACCTGGCATATTTAGCTTGTAGTTTAGTCCAGAATACAACCAGAACTGCGAGTATCACCAAATAAAAGAAACTGTCAGAACTAGTCAGTCTTGATAAACATGTCAACAACATTCCCATCAACCCTTCTGTAGGAGCCTAAATATATTAGAACTTAAATACACAGCTCTAAACAACGATTTTCGGGACTATTTAGAAACTTGAAAAGAAATAATCGTTAGAAAATATGTGTATGGCTAATAAACATGCAAAACATACCAGGTGTCTCAAGTATATGTGCGTTTTGATGTTAAAGGTCAGTTATATGATATCGGAAGCTCTGTACAAGAAATATCTAAAAGGGGACCAGGTACGTAATAACAAGAATGTTTTAATGAAATGTTTTAAAATGTCACAAAAGTTAACCACTAATAAGATAAACACCTGAACAAGTAAAAAGATAGCGGTGACTAAAGTTGTCCATCCTGTACTCACTGCTACCGCCCATGCACCTGCACTATTGGTCCTCCCTCTAAAATAATCAAACATTTTGCAAGAAACATTCCTATCTATATTTCTCAATTTCGTTCAAGGGGTCTGTCCTTCGGAACGATTTTGTATAGTTATTAAAGTCTACATTCAAATTAATTAGAAAAAATCCGTACAAAAATGATAGAAAGGGGGGGGGAGGGGGACCAAAATATGGTATACTTGGAAGGACCCAAAATCCTGCCTTACCTCAAGCTATCTAAAAACCAGTCTTCAGTTCCAGACATTGTTATTCTATACTGTTAACATCTGTAATTTAATTCATAAAAAGCTAGGTTCAGTTATAAAAAACGTTCTTCTATCTGTCGCAGAGAACGTAATTTCTATGTTATGCATAGATATTTGAGGGGCCGAGCAATGCGGCTCCTATAAAAAGCATAAGAGTCGACGAATACGTTTAAAAACTAAACTTAAAATTGCTTGCAGAAACATTTGGCGGGGATCAGAAAATACGGAAATGTACAAAATGCCGCAAATATTTTCAAAATGAGATATTTTCTTCATAATCAACTAATCAATACGCAAGACCCATGATTTTAAACATTATTCACGCTCTATTCAAAAAGAAAAATTTGTTAACAAAGAGATGTTTGATTTAAAGCACATATTTAAACGACGAAATTTCTTTAAAATGAAGAAAACTATGGTAAAAAGATGTAAATTAAAAATAAAATTGACCAAAGACGATTTTTGAATGGGCTCGAGTGCCGCTAATTATTACAAATGTAGATAAGTGTGCTCATAAAAATATAATTATGAAACAAATTCCAATCTCTCTCACATTAGATTAGGCCAGGCTACGCTGATAAATGTCTGGTGAAACGCTCTTATGTTCTTTTTTTTGTGAAATTTGTTAGTTGTTCGCTCAAAACTAGAAAATCTAATTCTATGTTAATTATCATATATTATTTTATCAAAACATGATACCATGGCTGAAGATCTTCCTGTATGTCTTCAATACCTACGATACTCAAATAGTTCCGGTGAAACTTCCTTATCTTTCCAGTTTTTGTCGTTTTTTCTGTTTTACTTACTCGAGAAAAGCCTTCTTAAACTATGTATCTTTCGCCTGTCTTCTTAAAAATTTCAAAATGCTTTGCTCAAACTTCATAAAAATATGATCTTACACATTCAATTTCTGGTGAAACGCACGTTTAGTTTAGTTCAACTTTATGATTTTGTTTGAGGTCTGTCCTAGTATGCGATTTTTGGACCCCCCCCCCAGGCCCCCCACCCTCCTATCAATTTTGTACATGACCATTTATTTTTCAGCAAATTTATTATTATTTATTTTTTTGTTATTAAGGGTTAGGTTAGGTTAAGATACTTTCTGGGCCGAGCGCTGCGGCTAGGATGGGCTAGGGGGCCGAGCGCTGCGGCCACGGGTTAGGTTAGTTAAGACATATTTTTTTGTTATTAAGGGTTAGGTTAGGTTAAGATACTTTCTGGGCCGAGCGCTGCGGCTAGGATGGGCTAGGGGGCCGAGCGCTGCGGCCACGGGTTAGGTTAGTTAAGACACTTTCTGGGCCGAGCGCTGCGGCTAGGATGGGCTAGGGGGCCGAGCGCTGCGGCCACGGGTTAGGTTAAGTTAAGAAACTTCCTGTCACACCCATGTACAAAATTGATAGGAGGGGGGGGGTCCAAAAATCGTATACTAGGAAATTACCTTTGTTTGTCACTGATACATGAATTAGTCTTGTTTGATTAATTTATTCCCTGGTGCTTACTGCAGACTTCACTAAAAGTTGAAACACTTAAAAATAGTGTCAACTTATACTTATTCATCATACATCAGACACAAATACTTTATCTGATAAATAATTTATTAACTCTATGCGAAGCCCTGTGATTTTGCTTCTGTTATCGCTTAAATCCAATAAAGAATTATAAAATAATAATTTCACTAAAATCAAAGTTATAACAAGCATTTTGACGAAGAAAATTTATTTATTTTCAGACGTTAAAATGCCGAAAAAGCCTTTCAGCGGTAAAGCCAAGAAAGCACAACTTGCGGCTAAAAAGAATAAGCAGTTAGGTAAAAAGAGTAAAATGCACTGTTTAGGACCTACTCCAGGAAATCACCTACAACTCTACTTGAATATAAAATTTCAAGTCTAAAAAACTAACTTTGAAGAAGTTATGCTCTTTAGAAGATTTGAAATTAAAAAATATTCATGTATTTTTGCTAAAATATCTCCTTATTTTTTTCCAATAAATCAAATTATCTCTGAAACGAAGCTACTAGGGTAATACTAAACCATAAAAGATTCTAAAACTAGAGTGCATTATATATAAGATCATCATTGCGAGATTGTGAAAAAAAAGTATGACTTTGATAGCAAAAATATTCCTCAAAAACTTTCATAAATGTAAAATTTACGAAACAAATTTTAATTTTGCAATTTTGCAGATTTGAAACTTAAACCCTTTAGTTTTAGTGTTAATCAAAATTACCAAAATTGCGAAAAAACGTAGGATTTTAATATAATAAAAATACTACCCCAAATAATGATGATATAAAAAAAAATTCGGATAGAAGGGGGTCCATAAATCGTATACTGGACGGACCCACCTATATTTTTAACGAGCATCTTTACAGTTTGGAAATTTATTTGGGGTTAAAAATTTCTGGGAACGGGTTTTACGTGACGGACCCAAAATCCGTGTCAGGACTATCACTATCCGTATCGGCCTCAAATATTATGTAGATCCGAGACACTGAAATACGTACAATCATCTGATCAAAGTGCAAAGTCATGATTTCGTGAATAATTCCAAAATTTGGGTTTCAGAATGGGGTCCATTAGCGGTGCCATTCTCTCCAAAGTTTGTATTTGTCTGTTTTATTAGGCAAGCTTGTCGGCGGGAAAGGAAATCTACAAGTTCTGCAGAAAGATGGTCAATATTCCAGAAACAATTCCGCTTATACCGACGTTGAAGTCAGAAAAGAGAGTAAAAGCAGGTTTGTAACGTGATTTTTGTAACTATCGTTATAATTTTTTTATGTACCCTCCTTTTAAAAAATAAAGACAGGCATGTCCGATTTACAACGATACCCATCAAACCTTAATACTATGACTAATGTGGAAATTAACGCAGTTTCGATAAAGTTTGGAAAGAATATCATTGGGTTATTTTCCCCATTGTCCCGGCGGAAGCAAGATTATCGCAATTCGAATTGTTTTTCATGTTTAAAACCATATCTACTTCTTACTTGACCAGACAAAGCTCGTAAGGGTTTGTGTGTGTATAAGACATGGAGGGTCACATAAAATTATGCTTACAGTTCCTTTAAGAATTAAAAACTTGACCATACTGTATCCAACATCTTATTAGAATGTTTAAGATCGAAGGTGAATGATTAATGTATAATAATTTAAAGGGACTGTCGACGTAATGTTAAGTGACCTTTTATTTAACTTTACAAACTTTCCTCCTGAGTTCACGCAAGTTACTTTAATTGAGAAACAGCTATTGAAATTTTTCATTTAATAGATAGAAAAACGAGGATATCCTAAGTAATTTGACTTTGACTGTGACTGTGACTGTGACTGTGACTGTGACTGTGATTTTGATTTTAGATACGAACTTCAGTTTAAGAAGCAGACTCCTGAAGAATTAAGATTATCGAAGGAGAAAGCTATGCTTCCGTTATTACGAAATCAGGTTTGCAAGGATACATTATGTTGAAATTAAATATTGTTTTTGACATGGATTTTGTGCACACAAATACTTTATTGGTCTTAAGAATCCACACAAAATATTATCCTATAAATCCCTTTTTTTTTGGGGGGGGGGGGTGACAAACAGGAACGGTATTGTATGCGGGGGGGAGGTTGTGATCTCAGAATTATAATACTATCATAATTAATTAACATTAGAAAGAACAAAAAGTTTCCTATAAATTAAACAAGAGTTAATTTTAGGACTGCACTGCACGATCAGAAATGTACTTCGACAACTACCACGACTTTCCACAAAGGTAAGGGATCATTCTCTATAACTTCGCCTGAATTTGTGAAGCATGTAATTATAGTCATGGCTTTGCAGTTTGGCTTAAGATCCGAATTCGTCGGATCCGCAACATTTTGGCTTTTGGATCCGTATCCTCAATAATATTCACGGATTTAAACAAAGACCTGCTGAAGAAACTTTTTGCTCTCAAAATACAAATCTTAAATGTTAATATAACGAAAGATTATTATAAACTTTACAATCTCTGTGATGTGTTGTGTAATATGTATAGTTCATCAGGTTTAAGAAAAAAAATTTTAAAAATCCACGCGTCTCCAATAAAATTAAATCTTGAATAAATGCTCATGACCTGGTTCCAGTTTTTGAATCACGATTAATTTTTTTCGTGACTGATCTGGATCAGCATCAAAATGACATCGATTCTAAGCAGTAGTCTGCACCTCCTAGCATTCTTTTCAGACGTGTGACCACTAGTTGATATCTTAAAAATAAAACGTAATTATGACTAACAAACCATGGCATGGGTGAATAAACGAAATTTCTTCGTAATTCTTTTAATGTGTCTTGATAATATTATTTTTCTAGACCAACTTGGAACGGGGCCTGGAGCAAAGAGAAATTAGGAATCTTAATTGAAATGAAACATATTTTTTAATTTCGAATTAATACCTGTCTTTAAACCTTCACTGATTCATTAAAAAGAAATCATCTTTTTTGGACTAATCTTAAATCTGACCTTGTATTGATATGAACTCAGCAGAGCTCACGGAGATATTTTGTATTCTATTCTTTTTATGATTTGCAGTCTATGAATATATATATTTTTATTTCAACGTTGATTTACTTTATCTTATGATTTTTTCCCAATGTTGATTTTTGTTTTAACTGATAGAAATGAACGAGCAGCGTGTATTCCGACAGTATATCACAAGATTACTTAAATCTGATATAGATGTTCCGCGACCTGTCAGGTATTTGACTTCAGCAATCTGATATAGATGTTCCGCGACCTGTCAGGTATTTGACTTCAAAATATGGCGACGTTAGGGCATAAAATATGACTAGTCTCTTTGCTTTTTTCGCTTGATTTAGGAAAAGAAGTAATGCTTAGGGTAAAGTAAAAAGCATTTTTTTTTAATATAAAAGAATGAAGAAACTTGCCTTTTGATGTCCAATTTCTCTTTTTTCCCCAGACCTTCAAAAATCATTGGGTTTATCCTTAAAAATATACACCTGTGCAAATATTAACTCGATGGGTTATTAACTTATTACTTCTAAACATAAAGAATAAGACTTTAGGTGTATAGAGTATATATATATATAATTATTATTATTATTATTATTATTATTATATATATAAGCTTTACCTGAAGAGATCTGAGGAATTGGTTGGTACTCCTGGGGCACGAATTCGCTCTGGGATGGAGGTAGAGGGTTCGCGCCTGTCCTTCTCCTCCTGGTCGGGGAGAGAGAAGTTGTTGACATCCTGGAATATAAACCATTCATTCCTGTACTATATATTTATGAAAAGCCAAGATCAGCCTTATCATAAATTTTATTTTAGAGAAAAGGGTGCTGATGATACTGAGGAGGAGGAGGAGGAGGAGGATGCTGATGATAGAGAGGAGGAAAGCGAGGTTGGAGATGGAGATCATGAAAATCCTCGAGAAGATGCAGAAGAGGATCATGATTCACACCCAGGTTTATATTTTAATGATTTCAACAATAACAAAAATGATGTTCATAGAGTGTAAATTTCTACATATTTTTCTCAATACACATTTCCCTAATATGCAAGTTTATTTATAGAGATATCTTAATTCTTAGTGATCCGTTTTAAGAAGAAAAAATTAGCATATCTCTATCACTTCAAATGTTTTTTGTCAGAGCCTTTAAAAAAAGCGCGTTTATTTCCTGATTTTGTGAATTGACGACGTTTCTCATTTTTAAAAAATCAATGGAAGGTATATTTTCATATGTGCATTCTATATTAAATTGTCAAGGTGTTGTGAAGGAGTTTAGTTATTTTGAGTTGAATCTTGAGACTTGGAGACAATTGTGGAGAGTCCTTGAGAAAAGTGATATTCTCCTCATTATCCTAGGTTATTATTAAATTGTTACGACATGGGGCCGGGGGGGGGGGTTGTGTAATTTTTCATAATTTCCCGGGAATACAATATTTTATGCTGTGAGATGAATATCATAAACGAGTTTTCATTTTTGATCTATTAGCCAAAAGTGTGGGGGTGATTTCTTCAGGATTGGCGCGGAGGGATATTTTTCAAGAAAACATATACCCATGTAATCTTAGATGTACGGTACGCTGCTGCTACATTTCCACCCTCATTGTACAACTACATTTTATCAAAGGTACAATATACAGGGTTCCCTGCAAAGGATGAGACTTAAATGACGACCTAAAACCAATAATTGAACTTGATCCTCGGCCTTAAAATTTATGTTTTAAAGTGAAACTTAATTATTTGACAAAACTAAACTAGTTCCATGGAAGCAGTTATGTTTGCAAAAATATTGATCACACTGCTAAAAATGGACCATCAGGTTTCAAGTCAAAACACTCTACTGACTTATCTCAATTTTCAGAAAATGCCACCTAGGGAATTTTTAGCAAATTAGTTTTTAAGAAATTGTAGAAACCAGGTGCATTCACAGGTCTTAAATTAAACGAACATTTTGTTTCAAGGCTTTAATCTACATTTTCTGGGTTTTTTTGCGATATTTTTTAACAGTATATGGCATTGTCTCCAAATTTTTTTAATTTTTCTTAAACAGTCTTGAAACATTTTGTATCAAAAACTCAAACCCCTAAGTCAACTGCCTGACTGTCAAAATACGGACTAAAAAGTCTTTTTGATGTCATTTTTACTGGTTTTACTTTAAAAGGCTTTTTTAGGCAGTAATTAGGCTTTGATTTTTTTGCTGAAATATGTTTTATGACTATAAAGGAAAATAAAAAAAATTTGGGAACCCTTTCATTAACGGTTCTAAAAATATCGCAAAAAAACGCAGAATGAGCTTGATTAATCCTTGAAACTACAGTTACGTTTGAATTCAGACCTGAAAATGCACTTGATTTGTACAACTTCCTTAAAATGGATTTACTTAATATTCCCTAGGTGGCATTTTCTGAAAATTGAGGTTATAACTCAGGAGACTGCAAATAAATTTATTCTTAAGTAAAAATTTAGGTGTTCTGACTTGAAACCTGATGGTCCATTTTCAGCAGTATGTGATTAGATTCCGTACAGTAGTCTCTAAAGGAGGGGAGGAAGGCCAACCACATCAATCTCTAGTCCGAACCACATTCTCCTCATTTTCTCGTCCGAACCACCTCGAAATCCTCGTCCTTGAAAATAAGTACATTTTTTAAAAATATGGCGACGTTAGGGCATAAAATATGACTAGAATAAAGTTTTCCAAGGATTTTGAGATGTTGGAATCTTCAAATCCACGAGAATGATGTCAAACATTATTTAGGTTCAAAATTGAATCTCTTCTGCCTCCAAAATGGATAACTTTCACAAATAAAAATGTATACCAAAGAATTCGCATAAACATGGTCTTTATCTTTCCATTTCATCCCATACAAAATAATCATTGATTTCTGATTTATTTACAAATAAGGTAGATTTGTTGTCCCCACTAAGAAATCACTTCTGCCTGCCGCATGCTTAAAATAATAGAAAAAAATAATGTTCAATTTATATTATTCAAATCATTTGCTACAATTAATTGGTCACAACCCTATGAATTCAAACAGTATTTAATCATATAAAAATTGTAAGTCATATCTCTATTCTCTAACCCAAATTCAGCTGGAATATTACAAAAAGTTGTTTACATAGAGTTTGAGAATGTTTTCCGCGAAAGAAAGGGCTCTTGATAAAGACACTTTTTTGTAGAACATCGTTTATGGAGCATTTTTATTTTTACACAAATCTAAAATTTAATTGGGAAAATTTTATATTTCATCTATGCCCTAACGTCACCATATTTTTAAAAAATGTATTTATTTTCAAGGATCGGACACTTAAAAAAATAATATTGAAAGGACGAGGATTTCGAGGTGGTTCGGTCGAGAAAATGAGGAGAATGTGGTTCGGACTAGAGATTGATGTGGTTGGCCTTCTTCCCTTCTCTAAAGCCTCTTTCTGTTTGTGTAATCACGTAGTTCTTATAGAGTGTTATGCATAATTGGAGCCACATAACCATTCCATATTTTATCAATATCACTGTACAATTGGACTTAAAGAATTTGCGTTTTGCACTTAATGGATAAAATGTACACGGTATTATATTTTAAAACATCACAAAACATTTTCAGTCCTTTTCTGAAAAATAAATCTTGAAATTGATTGGTATAAAAATCAATGAGACTGGATCCTGTATCATCATTTCATTACAGGTTTTACAACTGTTTTGCGTAAAACTCTTGCAGTACAGAACATAGAATACGTTTGTTACATGCTGTACACTTAATAGTGCACTTGTTAGTCGTTATTTTCTGTCTAAAACTTCGTTAAACCTCAACGAAGTCAGTTACTTGTAACAAATATCAATCAATCAGTAATCACCAATTGAAAAAAATCTCAAATTTTAATCTTGATAAACTTTATTTTCAGGGAAAACAACTGATCGTTGTGTTAAACAAGATTGACCTGATACCCTCCCCCCTGGTGGCAGCCTGGAAGAACTACTTCACTACCACCTACCCAGGGGTTCACATCGTGTACTTTACATCATTCCCAGCTTACAACATGGTCGGGGTCAGGGAGAACAAGAGGGGGCTCAAGATCAGGTACTTAAATGGACTGTATACAGGATACAAACAAAACTCAAGGAGAGGGGTCTCGTATAAGATTACGGAATTTTGGCTGACGGGTTGTCCTTAAGTTAGAAAAATATCAACTTGATCTAAGTAATTGGTTATATTTGAATTGGATTACATTTATATTTATTAAACTGTAGAATTGGGAAACGACAATTAAGTAATCACATGTGTACTTGATGTTGTTCTAAAGCAGTAAAGGGGATGGTGGAGTTGGGACATTTGATGTAGTGGG